ATTGGTAACAGCCTCGGCATACTTGACATGCTGCGCATCGAAAAAGAAACACTTGCTGGGAAGATCCTCAGGATGTGGAAAGTTGTCACCACTCAGGCTCAGAATCTGACCTCCTACAACATCGAAGGCGACTGGAAACAAACTTAAGATACCCCAGTAGTAGAATTTCAATCCACCACAATCTATATTGGATTTGCAAACCTTCATTTGATTATCTTGCACGCATTGATTTATCTGTGTATTGCAGTAGGCTTGTTGAGTAAATTGCGCTGTCGGGTTGAAATGATTCTGCAAATACCCATTCACAGACATTTCTACATTTACAGTTGCTGGTGAAGCATAAGCAGGAAGCGAGAATGAAAGCCACGTGCTGTTGTCAAGATTCAACTTGGCAACGGCTCCCACGCATTGAGTCGCAGTTACATGCAAGGCCGGATCGTTGACATCGGTTACTTGGCCTAGGCAAGCACTTCTGGGCTCTGGCCATGAGTAATTAATGAAAGACTGAGCAAAGTAGTGTTGATACTGATATGGATACGATTTGTGCAGAAGATCAGGAATTCTTTGTGAGCTTGCGGGCAAACCGAGATACACAGTCATCCCCCCATTCATAGGTCCTCGAAAAGGACTGATTATTGTAGCGATCTCTGCAGGAACGTATTGAAACGTAAGTTGATTATCGGAGTATTGATCAAGAATATATCTATTCAGAGTTACTGAAAATTGAAGTGTATTCTGTCCATTGTTCAGCAATTCTGCTGGTTGTTCAGGAGAAGGGCAATATACGCAGTCATTAACCATGTCATATGATCCAATCATCAGTATGTCAATCCAGAAAAGGCATTGAACTTCCTGACCACCCCGTGAGCCTGTGAACAGATTGTATCCGAATACTGAAATCACAGTCCCGCCATAACCAGTGCCAACGGATGGAGACAAGCTTAATATTTCAAAGTAGCTGAAGTATAGAATTTGACTTGTGAATTGCTGGTTGTTGAAACTTACTTGGCTCAACAGGCGGTTGTTAAGTGAGGTCTTTGGATTCCTGGGAGAGGTACATTTCATTCGTGTTGGAGTCAAATACCAAGCAACCGCATCAATGCTTCCAAACCTGCAATAAATTGCTCCATCTCCACTGAATGAATTTTTGTCATCCACTCCAGTCTGACACGGCAATCCGCACTTTCGAAGGCTGGCCCATGAAAAGTTGGCCCGTGCTGTACTACCGGGGATAACTACAGTGCAGCTTGACAATGAAGTCCAGGTGTACAAACCAACATCGCTGCATTTGTAGCATTGCCCCGTCAAGGGATCTAAACCTGTCCGGCATGCTGTAAAGAAATTGAGACCAATCATTGTGACACTTGTGCCCCCTCTGTTGGGTCCACTTTCAGGAAGCAGCTTCTGTAAGACCACTTCGGGAAAGAAGGTAAAAGTTTTGTAAACATCTGATGTCGCAAAATCTCGATTGTTTAGCGACACGCTGAAATAAACTTCTTCGCCAAGCACATTTGAGCTCATTGTGCTCAATGTAGCACACTCAATTACAGCACTTGGTCCAGTTGAAGCATTTGTGCATGTACCGCTGGTATCTTGATTGAATGAAGTACAATTCACCAATTGATCAACGAAAAATTGTATAAAACAAGATTGCTCAGGAACACATAACACTGGTAAACCATATTCACAAGTCTCCAAAGCAAAGACGTTAGAATTGTTGCAAATCATACAGTTCTGATTACAAGAACTGTGCAAATAAATGTGAGAAAGATTTTTCTGTACAAGACGGATAAAAGTGTCGTTCGATGTTTGGTAACAAGTATCATTTGAAACTTTTATCGTTAGATTGCCCTCGAAATTATGTGTACACTTAGAATCATTATGCACATACAAGCGCAATACTGTATAATTCCAGCATTGTCTTGATGAATTCGATGAAAGAGAATATAGACTTGTATTGTTGTTGAAGCAGACATTTCCAGAGCCAGTTGAATTCGACTGATTCGTTAGGTGAACAAGGGCAGCTTCAACAGTATGCGAACCAAACTTGCACCACGCTCTATCCGTTTGTGCTGATAAAGTAACTCGCACTATCGTATTGCCGCTTGTTGGGCCACCCACTGGAACGATGTTCAGAACTGAAAAATAAGTGAATTCGGAATAAGTTGCACTTGTTTGCTGTCCATTATTCAAAACAAAAATACGCGATACTCCAGAGCTATAACTCGAAGGCACAATGCAAAAGATTTGAGACGAACTGAGGAAGTGTCCAGCTGTGGTTACATCGGATATTGTACCTATCTTGAATTCGCACGCTAAATATGTAGAATTGAAAAAATTAGCGCCATACAGTGAAACAGGATAACCACCAACCATTGGTCCACTCGAAGGGCTCACTGCAAAAATGTAAGCCTCCGATTGAAACTGAAACACATGAGAGCTACGAGAATATTGATCCTGATACAGAGCCAAGCTGAAGTTTACCAACCCCAAAGAGAATGGTGGTGTAGAACATCTCAAAAACCCTGAATTTGTGATAGAGGCTGTCACTACCTTTGAGATGTTTTGATTGAAAAATTTGCATGTGTACTTCCGGTGTACTTCGCCTTCAAAACTTGCAAGATTGTATCCCTTGACCAAAACATCTGTTCCTCCTGACCAGCCGCCAAAAGAAGGAATAATCTCAGTCACTGAAAAATAAGCATATCTGACGTTGACGTTGGACACAAAATCTTGAGAGTTGATAGAAAGGCCGACACTCTCATTGGTAGCATGGTATGAAGACGGGGATGTGCAAATGATTTCCGTCTCACTCAAGAACTTTGCAGGTACCAGAGTCCAAACTGGATTTCCCTGTTCTACCTGATAATTTCGAAATTTGCAAATCGTTAAGTTTCTTGCAAGATCCAGGGAGGCTGAATGAAAATTGTAGCCAAATATTGTAACTTCTACTTGTCCCTGTAAAGGGCCTGCTGGAGGAAAAATTCGAGAAATGACAGGTTCAATGTACATAGTGATGAAAACTTCAGGTGCATTCTGCTGCAAAACGTATTTGGGTGCATTGACGGCATCTGAAGTGGGAAGATATTGTACACCATCCAATGCTATCTGAAGTCTGGCTTGTTCTGTACAGCACGTGATTCCGCAGCATTGGATTATGTCACTCTTCCTGTAATTCAAATCCGAAACAGCTGGAAATTCCCTATATCCTCCTTGCAATCCACCAGACAAGCACTGTAAGGCAAGTTCAACACTCAGGTCAATAAAGATCAAAAGTTTCAAGCTTACTTGAGTATTGCAGTCTTGATCGCCTGGGAAGAACGATCCTGTGACACATTTGATTGTTGTATGATTCATGTACAAAGCGCTTCCAAACAACGTGGTCTGACACGTGCTTTCTACATTGTAGTCGAGACACCACTTCAATCGGCATGATAATCCTGGAAATGAGAAGAATCCCTTTATAAAATGTCAACAGAAGATCATTTCTTATCAATCGCATACCTGGCCGTACACGTAAATATTAGTCCCTCCTGAATATGGAGCAAGCAAGAGATTTGCTCCGGTTATATTGAAAGCTCTGTAAAGAGAGAAAGTCCACTGTGAATCCGTGTATGTGGTATTGTAAGAGGTCGCTGTGCTTCCTGTGAGCAGTTCGGTGACAAGAATTTGGACCTGAACAACAACTTTCAGAAGCGTATTTGCCAAGCGAGCATGTGAGGATTGATCAATACCTGCGCTATTTGAAATTGGGGGGATAAAAGCAAAATACTATCCGGAACCCTGCAGCCAATTTGTCCAGCTCCCTTGTAGTCTGCAATGATCAGAGGGTGTATGGAGGGGTCAAGCCATCCACTGCCAAAGGGAACAAATTTACACTGAAACTGAGTGACATTCTTTGCATTGAGAAGAGTGAGCGTTACAGTTGGCTGCATGCCACTGATGCCTGATATTGGCTTCATTTTACTGATTCCTACAGGAATCGTCACCATAATGGATGAAAGCAACAATAGAATTTTATACCGAAGTATGCGAGGTAGAGAGTTCCTGCAGCTGGGGTTGGGAGCATTGACAAAGTATCAGCATCCATGAACTGAAGATAGAATGGAACATCTCCAGTTGTCTTTCTGCCCGGAGATACACACTGGGCAAATCCTTTCTCGCAATTCATCGATAAGAGAGGGATACTTTCAGCGCCAGAGCTTTCGCTGTATCCTACCATACACTTCCACTTTTCCATGTGACTACATTCAGCAGTCCAACTTGAAAATACTGCATTGCTCAGCCCTTTCATCGTAATAACTGCTCCACCAGCCATTGGGACCAAGCTTGGCTCAATGCAGAGTGCTGTACTACCATTTGGAAGCGTGTTCCCATTGCAGAAAGAGATCTGAGCCAAGCTAGTTGCAGCTGTTGTCAGCATCAACAAGCCGTATAGGGCTTTTGCGCAATGGCTACTAGCCTGTGACGATCCCATCAACCCGACGGCATCAGCGTCTTTAATCTTCTCGTCCCGCCAACAAGAGGCTCATCGCTCATGGCATGGAGCCAGGCTGAGGTTTTTGCTATCAGGGGTTTGGGTTGCCTTTGGCAGTTTGAGAATAGAGGGGGATGGTGAGAGGTTTGCTTTCTACACTTAGACTCTCACTTAGCAGAAGAAGGACCTGTACCTCATTCCTCGTGACAGGCGAGCCGGGCCCTCACTAGAAAGCCCCCGGCCCTCCCGGGTACTACCGTAGGTTGAAGATAAAGAGTGGGGAGATCCAGGAAGGGGTACATTCCAATACAAATTTGTGGGTAGAGGGTAGGTGGAGTATGAGGGGTTGAAAGTTGAGGGGTAGGGTTGGTGCTTTAGTTCACTCACAGTCAACTGTCGGGCGCTTGCTCCCCGGCCGGGCCCGGGCAGGTCGCGCAAGTGTCGAGCAGATCGCTTCAATGGGCGCATCGACGATGCTAACCAAGGGGAGAAGAGGGCAGTGAGCCCTCCCTTGAGGGATGATATGAGCACAAGAAAAGCGTATGTGAGTTTCTTGCTCGTTATCTTGCTGGTTTGTGTTAAGGCGTCCTCGATCGACAGTAGCGCATACTCCTCGTCAAACCATGAGTCTGTACAACAATTGCAAGAGGAGCTGATGCACGAGCAGAAAGTGCCGGAGCCAGATCCTGTCAAAAAGAGACCCTTGAAAACGCTGGGTTTGTTTGACGATAGATACGGCAACGATACCATAACTGTCTGTAATTTGGAAGAAGAAACGAAAAGGGACGTGCTCCCACACTTGAATCTCAAGGAGCTGAAAAGAAAGAAGCACAGGGCTATGCACGATGTTGAGATTGCTCAGCGAAAACTTATTGAAGGAGGCTTAGAAACTGCATTGGGTGAACTCGATACCACAAACCTATTGAAGCTTATGAACGCTGAAAATGCACGTGCACAAAACCCTGAAAGAGCAAAGATCGGCTACAGGAAAATCTGGACCTTAGAAGAATTAGATCGTAAATATCCTACGCCAGAAGGCAATCGAAGGTTGGGATTGGCATCAAATGATCAGGTCAAAATTGTTCCAAAGGTAGAACGCTGGAAAAAGACCAGTCATCTTGTAGATATCGGAAAGCCCGGCGCAAGACCTGAGCTCCTTCCTGACTACGTGTTGAATTACAAGCAAATGCCAGTTCAAGTAGACATCATCATCAAAAGTAGTATCGGATGTCATTATCTCTTGCGACTAGATGTACAATGCCAGTTGAGACAATTGAAATACACGATCTGGGAGCACGAAGCTTACTACAGATACAATTACAGCAACCTTTCCATAGCAGACCAAGCAAGGGGATACGACATTAAGAAACAGATCCTTCTTTGCAATGGACGACAACTCCAAAAGCTTGATAATGAACATAGCCTTGAATTTCTTGGTATCAAAAATTTCTCCATCATTCGCGTCCTGGAAAAACTGGAAATAGGAAGGTGTTACCAAGCTTAGTCAAAACTAACAATGATCCAGATGAGAAAGAAGTTGAAGAATCAAGCAGTGTCTATGCACAGTTAGCATGGAAACGTGCTCAGAATAAGTATGTCTTTGGACTTCTGGCTGATACTTTACAAAAGTTCCAACAGGAAATACCTCGAATCAATTGAAGGAAAAAATGTGCTGAACGACGAGGATCGAATACGTCAGGCAAAGAATTTGATGAATCTCGAATTGGTTTTGATTCTTGTATGCATATCAGGCATACTATCTCACTTGTGAAGAATCGTTCCAAAATATATCGAAAAATCTTCCTGCGTTCAAATCTGCCTGCGAAAATCTAACCAAGGTGTCCGCATATTCTTAGAGCATGTAACATCCTTGACGTCAGAGCAGGATTTCCCGGATCTGGGAGACTCAGCCAATCCTTACATTGACGAAGAACAAAAACAAAAAGTACTCTAATGACTCTGTTGATCTGCTGTTAGGAGCAAATTGAGCCCGCACCACTTGCAGACTTGGGAAGCGATCTGTCAGATGGACTCCCCTCATTTTTTGCGAGAGGTAAATTTTCCTTGTTGTATTTACAGGCGTGACCTGACTGATAGACTTGGGATGCTGTTGAAGAAGCTTTTGATCGGACCAGGAAAATGGGCAACATCACATCATTGAATATAGATCAAAGGGATCTAGATCTAATGGATCTCACTTTTGATGAAAGCGATGCACAAGAAATCAGAGATGAAATAGAAGAAAATGAGAGATGGCTTAATATCTTCATGGGCATGCCTGACCTTCAAGAGGCAGCTATCAAATTTTTCAACGAAGATAATGAGCGGAGGACCAATGGCATTTCATCATACGTGGGTTCAAAGTCTTGGATAGACATAGATTTTCCATCAAAAGAAAGTACAGAAAATACTGTTGATGCGAAAGAACCACCCCACCAAGAATTTGAAATCCGTCAAGAGTATTATGAGTTGGCAAAAGAAGCGTTCAAAAAGGTTTCGATGGAAACCAGAGGTACACCAAATATTTCTTTTTGAAGTGATCCCAGTGATTAAACTCTACACAGGTAATAAGCTGCGTGACATAAGTAAAATGAACGAACAAGATACACCATAATACAAATTAGATGCCCAGTTCTTTGCTTCGTGCCAATGTTCATTGAGAATATACAAAAACCAGCATTTCATTCCATCACCCACTTATACTTGTATGGGCCACTTGCACCTGGCTTTCCTGGAGGTCCCTGAGGGCCCTGAGACCCCCTAGGTCCATTGTCGCCCTGCACGAAAGAAGCGCGTTCGGTAAGAAGAGATGGGTGAATATATACAGAGGCTACCTGAACACCAGGAGGACCAGGATCTCCTTGTAGACCTGGGCTGCCCTTAGGACCGTCAATTCCGGGGGAGCCCATCTATCAGCACCAGTCAAACGGAAGCAGCACAACAAAAGACAAGTACAACCGGTCCTCGCTTGCCAATGCGTCCCTCAAACCCACGTTTTCCCTGAGGTCCCGGAAATCCTTTCAGTCCAGTCTCACCGATGACTCCACGAACACCACGAGGACCGACGTCGCCAGGGGGCCCAGGAGGACCAGTGGGGCCTTGATCCCCTTCGTCTCCAGGCAAGCCGCGGGGACCGCGGGGCCCAGGAGCTCCTGGAGGACCTCTCTCGGCAACTTTGACGACAAGTGACTCAGGATTCGGAAGCTTGTGTGCATCCATAATGCTCTTGAGGTCCTTGTACAGAACTCTCTCCTGAGAAACCTCAGTCTTGAACTTCTCGAAGAGTTGTGGAACGCTATCAATTGGTGACTGGGAATTCACAGATGACGTGTCCGGTTGATTCTGCATAAAAATGTCATCTATTCACTAACTCACATGATTTGTTTCACTCACAATGTCATTGGCGAAATCTGCTCCTTGAAGTTTTGCGATATCCTCGCTCTGGGGCAAAGCACCTGGCAGGAGATATGAAATGCCACTATGCTTGACGCTCTGGGACTCGAAGTCGGCATCATGCTCATCCTCAATTCCTGTATACGAAGCTGGGGCCTCCTTCGATCCACTGAGGGTCTTGAGCCAATCAGAGTAGTTGTTGATCTCCTCCTTGAGGGCAACTCGTCGGGCTCTGCTCAACGAAGAGCTCTGGGCAACAATCCCAAAGGCAACAAGAGCTAGCATCCCTCCAAAGACCAGGAAGACTTTATACCCCTCCATTCTTGTCTCTCTCCTCCTACTCCCCATCCCCTCATCGCCAAAGGTGGCGTAGCTTACCGCCATGCCACCCCTCGCGTCTCTTCGCAACACCACCACCCACCTTGAGGTACCGCCCCAAATTTGCACCCACCCCACCTATACGTAATGACACCCCTATCCTCTAGTCTCAATTGCGGTCCTAAGTACCCAGTACTACATCCTCTTCATCAATCTGACCCACCCCTGTGTTCTATCACCCACCGGCGTGCTACCTGCACTCGGATAAACTACTACCCCTTATCTCGTAGGTTTTTTATTATCGACCCTTGGGGTTCTTGTGATTACCCCACCTCCTTTCATGGCATCAAATGTTTTTAATTTGTTTTTGGAAGTGTTGAACAATGAGTTCTTCAGACGTGGGGACGACAATCTTCTCTGGCTGGCTGCCAAGCTGAGATGTCGCAACGGGCCAGCCTGGCAGGAGAACAGCTCCCGGAGTCCAGTCCCAGCGGCTGCACTAAAGTGTCCTCCACCGTGCTTCGGCGGCATAACAGACTCAGTTTGCCTCCTATCCACGCGTCAACTTGCCAAGTTGCTTCAGTGAATCATGCCTGAGTCCGAGGCAATCTGAGTTCGCTAGTCTCTGAGTGTGATCGGACACTGATCGGCACCGGGCCCGGTACAGACGTGTAAAAGTTAAAAAATGTAACTTTAAAAAAAGGTGACCGCAATGCCGACAGGTGAGGACTGAAGACAAATTGAGTGGATGTAGCGATCTTTGCGAAGGTAGAAGGTAACATCAGGGTTGTACAGTTCTTGGAGGAAGAGAAAGCTCCACAAGAGCCAGAACAGATCAACAACTAGATGCGGAAGAGATCCAGCGTCTCCGATCCGATCTACTTACCGAAATTCAAAATGTGACCAATCTTCTTTTCTTTCAGTCAGTGTTTGATGCTGTTGTAAGGTGATTGAAAGCATTGAACTGAATCAGAGCGAAGCCAGACAACTTTTGTATCAACATAGCGAGACCTGTAAGTTTGTGAAGGTTGACCTGCTAGTCGAAATGACTAACTCTTTTCATCACAGGTCACTTGCTTAGCAACAGCGTAAGGAAGAAATTCACGATTCTCCGAGAAGTTTTGAATGCCAGAGAAAGGGAAATTCTTGAAGATGTATCCAAATCTAAAGAACAGGGTCAAAACGATCTGGAGAAGTACGTGGAAGAAATGCAAGAGAAAAATTCAGAACTGCAAAAACTCTTTGACAATGCCTCGGAGGTGATGCCTATGAGAATCGAAACCTTTAAATGACAATTGTTCGATGGCCACAGAGATCTCTGTCGAAGAAGTCAATTACAGAAATGCAGAGTCAAGTATGCTATGTCATAAGTCGCCAGTTCTAATTCTCACTTTATTGTTGTAGTTGAGAAATTTGGGGGACATTGATGAGATACCTCATGTTCAAAAAAATCTCTCTATCTCCATCGACTCGGAAATGGTAATTCGTTCACATAAAACGTGTACGTGCGAGAAGAGTCTGACTCTCGTCAAGGAATCCATAAGAAGAATCCACTTGGTCTCTACCGCTGGCGAGATTTCGAAGTGGGAGCGGGTGAAGGTGTGAGATATTTGCCTAACGGACAACGACAGGAGATACAGTTCGAAAGAGTCTGAGGAGAAGATATGGCATGTTGATCAAAGAATCAAAGAGTTGGCTGCACAGGTAATCTTGGCTTCCTTGTTTAAATTCGTTCCAAAGGCATTGACTTCAACTTACAGTTGAAATTGGTTTCTGCAGAGAATTCCCGCAAGCAGGTTTAGCAACATCAATAATGAACTGACAGATAAGAGAGTCGAGCTGAGCAAAAACTTTCCAGGAGGAAATAAAGTTAGCGAACAAGAGAGCACAGCAAGCTGAGGAATACTGCGAAGCTACTTTGGCTGACCTACAGCGACTGGTGAGCCTGCTCTTCGTTCTTCATCTGGGGCCTTATTCTCCCTCTTTCAGAAAATTCAGTATGACAAGGAAGTTTCGCGAGCAGGAGAGTTGTCAAAAGACATTGAGGATCTGACGCGGGTATTGCTTTGATGGCAACATTTAGTCCTTCTTACCAAAGTGTAGGAAATGAAGGAATCGGAGTTGCAGCATAAACGAGATATCCTTGAGATGTTGTGTACCTTCTCCTAATCATGTATGCTGAAAGAATGTCTTCTAGGCAGCAATTGTCTCATGAAAAAGAGAGATTGCTTGTTTCTTTTATGCAGGTTCGGCTTGTCTGCATTTCCAGACAGCCTCGTTTATTCCTTGCAGGAGCAAGAAGGTGAATTCCGAGCCGCCCAGTCCAAACTCTCAGAGGAGCAGGCAATTATCTAGATTTGAATGATCTTTTAAATGTGAATGATTCTTTCAGACCAAACTCAAGTTGTTGGAAGAGAAGTACCAGAACGATATCAAATCGCTCAAGTGGGAAAGAGACGAAGCGCAATCCCGCCTTGCTGAGGTCACAAGGCTTATACCTAGAACTTGCCTTGACATTGAATCCTTCAGGTCAGCGCCAAGAATAAGCATCTGATGAAGAGCCTGTCGGTTGAAACCTCCAGGGTTGCAAGATCCTTTAATATGAGACCTTCGACTTGACTTGTATCCATTAGACGGACAACGCCATTCATCGATGGTCTAAGGATGTCGAGTCGATGGTTCAGACCATCAAGAATTTCGAGACTCTGTTGAATGATGTACATGGTGAGGAAAGAGCCTCGCCTACTGATCTCATCTCCTAAGCGATCAGGACCTGTTGAGGCATTTGGGAAAATCTCAAGTGAGATTCGAGAAAGGATGGGTGAGCTAGACGAGAGATCCTTGTGCGGCATGATATCTGGGCAGGCGAAGAGATCCAGCAGGGCTTCGATCGCAACCTTGAGGTGAATGCAGCTGTGAGCTCTTTAAATGTGAACTTACACTGAACAGGAAGGAGAAGTTGAGAAATGCAATCACAAGCTCCTCGCCTCCATCGGTGATCCTTAGCTCCTCGGTTTCTTCTCGTGCTCAACGTTGCATCAATAGATTCTCTCCTGGAAGAAAACTCGAAGACAAGTGAAGAGGTCACCTTTGATCTAAATATCTCCATTTCTGTTGATGGATATGGTGACCGCAAACCAACCCTCCAATCGTATTAAGCACATGAACTTTGTTGTGTACTCAAATTCAGCAGACGATGGGAGATCTTCAAATCTTCAAATCCCTGACCTCTGAGTCAAATTAATGACTGTATGTGTTCAGGTCAAACAGATCGAAGAGAGATTGCGAGACGAATACAAGCAGCACCTTCAGGCAATGTTTTGTAGATGCGTTTTCAAGCAAGTGAAATGTGAAATCTTCTACCAGAGAAATTTCCTTATTTGGTACCGAGAAGAACAGAATTTGAAAGGTAATTTCAGGTTTACTGTGCAGCCATGTCACAGGGTATCTTGCAGAACAATTGGCTGCAGCGCAGCAACTTGTGAAGCCGATGGAGGAAGAGACTTTGCAGCTCAAAGCTATTTCTGCAGAGGTCCTGACCTTCCTACCGACACGTTCTGTTAACTGAAACATACTAAAGGCAGAGGTGATCGCAAGAGAGTTGTGCCAGGCTCAAGAGCAGGTTCATTCTCAACTTCAAGAACCGTCATTCCTGACGCTGCATGTCAAGTTTGACATCATCTACGAGGGTATCCGGGTCGTTGAGGAGGAGCTCAGGGAGAGGTCTTCGGTGAGAACTCTTCTTGTCCTAGTCGTTTTTTGATCCTCCGCGTTGTTATGCAGATCATTGACCAGCTGAAGCAAGAGATGAAGCTTGTCATGAAACTCGTCCGAGAGTCTCGAGGAAGTCGCTCCTTTGACAAGCTCGAGGCCCCCAAGTCCTCCCTCTACCGCCGCATCCCGGCTGTGAGAATCTGCTTGCACCCTCCTCCTCTTAACAGCTGGTTTCCCGCCAGCCATCAAATTCAAAGATCAAGGACAACATGGCGCAGGAAAACGACACCCTCAGCTCCATCAACGATCTCTTCGAGAAGTTGCAGGCGAAGCACAGGGCACCTGCTCTCAAACTCTTCTCTAGCTGATCCCCGTCCCAGGAGAAGCTGGCGATAGAGCACGACTGCCTCGACCTAGAGGCAGAGTATCAGAGGTACAGCCCGATGCGTTGCAAGAGCTTCTCATCTCTTTCCCCTCCAGCGCTCTCCAGCAGTACTCGAGCATGAGCGGACAATCCATGGACGAGAGCGGGTCGAGCGTCGACACTAACGGTGAGGTTGAGATGTCGAGAGGTGGAGCAGGCTGAATGGCTGCAGGACTGCAAGTGTGATGGATGGAGTCGTGTACAAAATCGTTGTGAAATAGTTGTTAACCACTAGAGTGAGATGCGACCACATGAATCTGTAAAGCCACTCTGACACAAATGCGCGAGTTGAGATATCACAATCCTTCCGGATGATACTTCCACACCTTGCCGAGCACGAACGCAGCGGTCCCGATGGACTCCGGCTGCCATGGCGATCGCCACAAGCCTCCATGGACAGCTTTCTTGGAAAAGAGCAGGAGTGGGTTGGTGAGAGCCTTGCTAGGGTGAGTAATCGAGGACGATGAAAACACATCATGGAGCAGCAGGAGCGCGAGAACCTCTGAGGCCGTCGGAGCTTCGAACGTCAGGAGCGGCTTGAAGTGACCCTGACCGTCCAAGCACGATGAGAGCACCGTATTGTGAGTGACAGAAAGCGTTCTGCTACCAGGAGCGATGTTTGTGCTCACGATCAGCTTCTCTTCCTCTCGCAACAGCATCGCCCTCCACATCTGCAGGGTCTTGGCAAGGGCGTAGTTGGGTCCTTGTAGCACAACGAAACCATTATTGAGATAAATCGTCTCTCCTGTGTCCGTCGTGACTTTCTCCACAACTTTGGGTTTGAGGAACAACATCTTCTGCCAGAAAGGAGCATCGTGCTGGGCCTTCACGCTCGCATCATAGCATTCCTGAGGGATGGCTACGCACGTCGAAGGAGAGCCGAGGTAAGCAACTGAGATTTTCTTTCCCTTCTTCTTTCCTTCCTCAACAAGTCCTGTCACGATCAGGTCCATGGCCACACTTGCTCGGACATGAGCCTCCCCGTCAAGGTACAAGTAACAGCCCACAGTGACGCTGTCGAACTTGTCGCAAATAGCCTCCTCCTTGAGCCACTGCAGAATCTCCGGCGTCTCCACGAGGAGGTCGCACCCCGCAGCTTCGCATTTCTGCTCCTCATCACGAGCTTCCTTGTTCATAGGGAAAATGATCTGTCCGCTGCCTTGCTTCACGACGTCAAGCAGGTTCCTCCAGCGGCTGGGAGAGTTTCTAGAGACTCCGATGGCAGTGCCTCCGTGGCGCATCAGCGTCTTCAGGGGCCCCAGCTCCGACGTGGCGCCCAGCAGGATGAAGCAGTGACGAGAGAGATCAATCTTGTTGACGCTGTCGATGGACTCCTTCAACGCCTGCGCCGCATCAGCCTCAATGCAGCCGTAATCAGCCCATCGTTGAACTTGACTCTTGGCGTCGTCCTCAGGCATCATCTTCCCGTTCAGAGGAAAGCTTCCGCTCTGAGCATGAGGAGCACCTCCTCCTTTGACAACTCCAGTGACAAACTTGTGCTGCGCATGCAGCTCCATGGCTGCAGCCAACGGAAGCTCTTGGTCTCCCCTAACAAACGTGAAGCTCTCGTGGGCTGCCTTGAGCCCTGCAGCCGCTGTCTTGAGTACCTGCCATGCAGAGAGTGACAAACAAGTCGAACAGATGTCAGCGTATCCTCACGTGCGAGCGAGAGAGCGCAGAGAGCATCATCACTCTGACGACATGGTCGACGTACCCTTGCCTCCAGTTCTTCTCCTTGTCGATGCCTTCAGCAACAGCAGGGTCTCCTCCCGCCTTTGCCGCCTCCATCCATATGCATTTGGCGACAGCAGTCGATGATCGAGACCCTCCAGCTGCTCCTCCAGCTGCTCCTCCACCAGATAGCTGCTTGATGGTGATGCCGACCATTCCGCGCGCAACTTCGGGGCAGCTATTTTGCTTCTCTTCATCGTTATAAGTGAACTTTACTGCCTCCGTCATGCAGGGCCGAGCAGTCGCAATGGCGTGTAATGGGATGGTACGGTGGAAATGAACGGGGGGCGACGGGCGACCAAGGCAAAAGGATCCAGATCTGCTTGCTGTTCGCCATGTGCTGCATCGGAAGGTCGACCAGCTCCCTTGGACCCCTCCTCTTGCTAACGTCGACCTGAACGATACCCCCTGAATGGAGGCCTTCGAGGTCAGAACGTGCTTCAGAGTGCTGATCCTTCTCGCTTTCGTGCTGGGGACAAGCTCAAGAACCAGGAACTCGAAGCTCAACATGAGGATACAGAAACATGGAGCAGTCCAGAGGATTCCTTGCCTTGCAGAGATCCGCCAGCGATTGATGGGAAGCTCACGCCTTGCCTTGCGTATCTCAAGCTTCTTAGACTGCAAATCCATCAAAGAGCAGCAGGTCATCCTCAATGAATTCATTGCTGAGCTACAGGAAGATTCCAATCCTCCAGGATGGACTAAATGTCGAGCCTTGCAAACATCTGCGGGCATGGCACTTCTCGGTATCTACTCAGCAGACGAAGGTTGCTGCTTTACAAACAGAATATCTGAAGTGCTTTCAAAGTTTGACGAGGTATGCCTCGTACAAGCTTGCTCCTTATTGCTGCAATTGGGCAGAGACAACGATGAGACGGATTGGTTCTTCGAAATAGGGTTCCGCAACTTGTTGAAATTGAAGCAGAGGAGTTTTCTGAAAGAAGCGGTTGCTTTGAACAAGGGTTGGATTTTCTCACGGTTGGTAGAGATGTTTGAAAAGGATCTTGTCACATGCAACAGACAGCCAGAAGTTTTGCAAGACGACATTCACAAAAAGATGCAGGTTTGCATTGGTCTGCTTGATCTTTCCTCTTTGACAGCTGCATCAAAGTTCGACGACAGCGAATCATGTCGCCTTGAGCCAAGCACGTTTGACAAGCTCTTTCATCAAGCGAACTATGCCTTGCAGAATGATAATTTCTCCCAAGAACTGAGGAAGACTTCTTCAGTGCTGCTGACTAAGTTGATTAAGAGCCATTGCCCTCTTGCAGCTGAAAGCTGGAAATATTCATTCTATGAACTTTTAAGCAATTCATGTAGTGGAAAAATTGATGCACTGAAAACAACGCGAACGCTGGAGTCTCAAGGATTGAATGTTAAAATTCCTGAGATAAGAAAGAAGAGTTGCATTTATGGTTCTATCTGTCTCCTTCAATCTTTCATGGCCTCGGAAGAAGTGTCCTTTTTCAATTCTGACAGTGAAAGTCCAGACAATCGCTTGTGGGACTGGATTGTGAAATTTGCAGATCTAGTCTCTCAGGAGAGCGAAGTGCGAGAACTATTTCAGACACTGTCACTCTTTGTTCGAACGCTCTCTGCAACAATTCACCAAAACAACTTGAATGACGACGCATGTTCTCTGTATGAGATATTTCACGACGTCAATGTTTCTTCTGTGATGTATGAATCCTTCCGTATCATGGCGAGGTATAGCAATGCAGTCTCATCCGGTCCACTGCAATATCGCGTGAGTATCCTCTTGCCCACAAATTTGCATCTTTTGTGATGTACTCGTACGCTAACTGTCCTGACAGATCAGAGAGTTTTTCCTTGACACACTGAAAATGAGAAATGCCATTCTTGCAAGCGATCTCTTTCATGAAGAATTCAAGTCAAGAATATTTGATCTGTGGAACGATGATGCAATCTTGGTGAGATGTTTGGTAAGTGAGGCGATTGTCTGGTTTTCGTTGACGGCATTTAATAGAATATGAACTCCTTGCAGAAGGGTAAGTTTTTACTCCTGAGCGCGTTGGTTGATAAGTTGTCATCCGATGGACAATTTTGGAATCTGCCCAGCTTGAGTCACTTCAAAATATTGATCGAAGAAGCTTTTACTCTTACTGATTCACCGTCTCATGCATTTGCAGCAAAACGCTTTTTGGAGTCATGTTCGAGTGATGATCTTGCTAAAAATCATGATTTATGTTCGGAAATGTGGCTGCACCCCACTGTCAGATTGCTACTTCATTACAAACATCGTGAACTCGTATCCACTCTTGTCTTGCAACGACTTGTTCATCAGATCCCCCACTTTGCAGAAAGTCTTCTGAGAGGGTTTGAGAGCATTCTTGCGGACTACGAATCCCTTTCGAATGATGCTGATGAAGATACGAAGATGGATATGCATGAGAGAATTCTTTGGGCAAAATTGACCATCCTGAAGCATCGGGCTGTCGACTTTCCTCCGTCTGGATATCTGGAGATGGACAAGGAGGAGGAGGAGGAGGAGGGGAACAAGGAAAGAGCGAGAGATCAAGAACTGATTCAAGGAGCAATCTCATGTGCCAGCTCAGAGATCCGAATCCAGGTGTTCATTTCCTCACCTATGTGTCGATCATGTGTGCTCATCCGAACATGTCAGGCGTTGGAGTCGATCTTCTTTCCCGTGTTGAGCAGCCGGTCGGTGATGTCATTGGAGTTTTTAGCTGTGAGCTGAATTGAGATGCCCAGCCGCAGACTGAACGACCTCGACGTCTCGCGTCTCCGTCTTGCCATCCTGTTTGAGTGTGACAATCCGTCACGGGCGAGTCGGAGGAAGGTGAAGAGAGCATGACCGTCTTGCCTCTCAAGCCTTGTGAAGGTCTTGGGAATCATCGCAAAAGTGCTGCCCCTGTGCAGGATAGAATACCGAAGACAGCAGAAGAAAAGTGAGATATCAAAGAGGTTTCTCCAATACAATGTATGATGAAGGAGCAGGTCATGTCGAGAAGAGCGAAGGAGAGGGCGAAGACATATTCAGATGGCTCTTTCAAACGATTCCTGGTTGGATCAAAACTTCGGCAGGAACTGGTCTGGCAAGGAAAGACTGTAATTCTCTTAATTCTGCTCTAATGCTTGCGATGACTTCCTGCGACAGTCGCGCTTGAGTTGATGATGCTCATCCTCGATGTTTGGCTGCCCTCGAGCTCTGCCGCACCCGATGATCGAATGTTGCAACTAGCCGCCTTGGAAGAGAACACGAAGAGAACTTTGGATCGTATGTTCACACCTGATCTGCTGACAAGTCTATCGATGTGCTTGTTACACATGTTCGACTCTATACGACAGAAGGCATCGTGTATCATCTCAAGGAAATGCGATCGATTTGGTGCCTTCGATTGCTCTGACGTTTCTTGACAGACTGATTCCTCTGTACAAGGAGGAGTTTGTTAATCAAAGGCAATTCGAGCGACTTGAAGTCATCGGGAGTAGGCTTGTTACAAGTTTGAATTCAAGAGATGCTAGTAGCGGAGCTTTGATTCTCAAGACTTCTTACATTCTGAAGCAGCTTGAGGTGAAAGAACATGTTGTAGATATTGCTCAAGTCTGATATCTGCATTCCTAGGAAAGCTCTTCCTTAAAGTCAGACCTCGATCAAAACATGTCCAAGACATTCGAATCGAAAATCATGAAGACAGTGAACGCCATAAGTCATTGGCCATTGCTGTCTGTGCAGAGTTGCGACGACGGACGAGACTCAGTGATGCGTCACTTTCAACAGCGAGGGTTCATTCACGGTCACATATTGACAACCCGTCTTCTCCTGGACTCTGGTTCCTATGATTCGATCTTGAAAGAAAACAAACAAATCTACCAGCTCTTGCTCAACACAACACATGAGATCGTGCAGACCGCTAAGAGTTTGCTAGACGACGAGTTGGTCTGTGCTGGCATGATGAACGAGAATCTCTCGCCGGACGAATTCGAATTGATGGATGATGAAGATCGTCAACAAGACTTCTCCAGAAATTCCAACCTGGAGTTATGTTCACAGAGAGCTTGTTGGTTGACTTTGAAAGAGTCTGCGTTCTTGCTGTCAAGTCTGTGCAAGCGATCTTCGTTCCAGAAAGATTGTCTAGATCAAGAACTCCTCGACAAGATTGTAGATGTAAGCTCGTTTATAACATCTTGTATTGATTCTAAGCAGACTGCAAACTAGGATCTGTTCCTGATCATTTTCGCCACTTCTCACAATGGCCTTGTGGAGCAGGTTCCTAACTTGTTTGGAAGTGCTTCTTCCTGACCATTTCACAAGAGTGCAGAGGCGCTGAGACAAGTCTGCATGTTTGTTGTTGACAACGATGGTGCGGGAGGCAAATCTTATCTAACGCATTGGATGTCAAAGTTGATTGCACTACTTCCCGACCCTTCCGTCGCAGCTGTAAGGTCGACTCAATGATAATTTTGAAGATTCCATTGAATGTTTTCCATCACCAGGAGAAGCTCACAAATCAGTCATGCAATCACTGCTATTCTTTCGGTCGAAAGAGGAGGAGACACGATGGTTGCCTGCAAACTTCCCCATTGCCTTCTTATCCATAATTGCAGCTTAAAGATTTTTTGCCACAAATCATCAGACTTGTTGATCCCAAAGACCTTCGGGTTATCAGCTTCTGAACACTTTTGATAGTTTGAAACTGCATGCAGAACGATGGAACTTGTACCTCAACTTCCACCAAATCTACTTTTCTCTCATCTGCGAGCATCGGGCTTCCTATCGACAAGCACCAGGACCCTGTCGATGTTGCATCGAGATTGCATGCATTGCATGTTATCAGACAGATCCTGCTCCACGCAAAGGTCAAGATCGCAAGTGTCCTCACCTTCGTGACGAGTCTTGTCAGGTTGGATCAAAAGCTCTCGATGTCCTGGGGGATGAAATTCTTTGCTCTATCGCTACGGCACTATCCAGCCAAGAATGGATGATCAGAAACGCGGCTAATCTCGTGAGTTCGCTGAGGCATTTGATTCATTCTTTTGTATCACCATGCATTCTCGCTACATCTCATTGCATTTGAAAATCTATTGCAGTGCCATGTTATCATGCCTGTAGGGATCGTGAGTTTGAATTGGTCAGGCTTTCAGCGCTGCGATCGAGCGATCGTTGGGAAAGCAAGAAAACTACAAGTCCTCCGATCACTTCTTCCGTCTCTTCCCAGAATTTCAGAGAGAACTTTTAGGGATCCTCGAAGAAGAGTCAAAGCAGAAGCAAACCGGAAAAGGTAGTCTTGAAAATCGACACTGAAAGACTGTCTGATGATTGTCTTATTTTGTGCTTACTGTGCGCTTTTGAGATCTGCGAAAGGATGTCTCTGATTATTGGGTACAGCCGCTGCGATTTCTCGCGTCCTTCCTTGTCTTTGTCTTCTTGCAAAGTTGAGGACAGAATCCATTTCATCGCAGCCCTTCATCTCAAGGATGCGCTTTCTGGCCATCGAACTTCTCTCGCACGAGTATGAAGTAGTGAGGGAGAGTGCGGCACTTGCAGCGGTCGCTCTGACCGAAAGGTCCCAGCTCGTTGCCTGCAATGTAGAGACTGACTTTGTCAACAAGGTCTAAACTTTGCGATGTCGCGGTCGAGATATCAAGAGACATCACCAAACTTGCATCAGGGATCCAAAATGACGATGATGCATCGAACAACATCCTTCATGGCCAGGTTCTTGGTTCCTTTTGTAGATAGTGGGATGACAAACTGCTGTAGATTTTGTTTCTTAGAACGATCTTGACGAGCAGTGCACAACTGTCGGATGCTGACTCCTGCGCGGTCTTTGTTTCTCTCCTCGAAGCATCATTTGTAGAGCTTGCAGACAAGCCAGTGCGATTGCTCCTTCTCTCAACAATTGAAGCAATCCTCGTCAAGTATGAAAAACAGATACAAACTGTTTTGAGTCAAGAAAGCCTTGTAGACCAAACACTAGAAACCTTGAGGCAACTGGTGTTTGCGGATAAACTGTATGAACAAGTTGAGGGGAAACCATCAATGTCGTTTCAGGCGACATCAGTACGAAATTTCCAGCAGTTGTCAATATTTCTGAGTCCCGCACAGGTATTGCTGAGAATGATGCGAATGAAACTGCAAAGATGTCCATTGAATCTTGAGACTTTCGAGGCATTGTTGTCTCACAGCCTTGACGAGGTGATTATCTCTCTTACTTGTACCTTCTGATTGTCATCACAGGTGAAGATAGCTGCTCTATCTCACATCGAGTCACTTCTTCCAAAATCATTCCATGACGGGCGTCTGTACCAACTACTCATGTCCAAAATCGGTGAGTTACAATGATCGCTTTTTTTTTTAACTGAGATACTTTGCAGAATTGGAAACAAACAGTGATTGCATTCGTGGGATTCTTTGCTGTCTTGAAAGATTCCCGCCTTCCGCTATTTCTTTGTCGAACTTGAATTCCTCTCAGACGAAAGCGTCCCAGCTCCTTTCGTCTTCAAGGCATGAAGTAACATCAGCAGCCCTTCGAGTCACAGCAAACTGGATTGCTGCTTTGATCCATCAGGCCAACGTAGAGGCTTCAATGCCCTCTATGAATGAGCGGATCGACAGGTCAAACTTGGAAACTGAAAACTTTCCTTGTATTGATCAACTTCATGATTGCAGGTGGGTCATCAGACTTGAGCAAGGCATAAATCCCTCAGAACCTCAAAATCTCCGAAGATCTTGTCTGGATGCGTTAGGGGACTCGCGCATTCTGACATGCAATGCTGCCGCACTCGCTGATGCCTCGTCAAGATGTTTGCTTTGCCTGCTGATCCTCTTGCAAGACAAGGACCCGAGCATCTACGAGAAAGCAAGCATCCTCGCGCTTCGTTCTGTCGATCTCAGCGTCGTGGGCCTGAAGGAGAGGAGGCGGCATCCCCTCGCGACCCATCGCCTCGTCGCCGCCATCTGTCTGATGCGATGGATTTGTTTGCGGTGCGCAGGAGAGGGCGGGAAGGTGCTCCTGGTCTCTCACATGCAGAGAGTGAGACGGTGAGGCGACTGAAAGATGTCGATGTCTCCTGATGTGACGTGCAGGGAGTTCGAGAGAGCGACGGCCACTTGGCCTCAGTACTGTGAGAGGGTTGGAGCTGAAGTGCAGGGAGATGGCGAGAGGGAGAGGAAGGAGGTAGTTCAAGAGGAGATCTTCGCGGCAGAGGATGAGTCGTACGAGCTGGAGCATGGCTTGATCTTGTTCATCTTCTCCGATGCTGTGCGATGGGCTATGAGACACACAGGCATGGGGCAGGACCAGGCCCGCAAACTACTAGCAGAGGTGGGCTGTGAAGAACAGGTGGAGCGGGAGTGGGGGAGCATTGCGATGGAATACTTGGAGATGTTTGAGCAACAGCGTTAAGATTCATCAGGCAAAAAGGAGCCGGAGATAGAGAACCTCTCACAAGTCCTTGAACAGAACTTTCTTCCCCCTGAAAGCCCCGGGAAAGTCGAAGACCTCCTTGATGAGTTTGCCGTCCTTCATGTACACCTGCACTTCCCTTCAGCAAAAGGACAAGACAAGATGAGACAGAAAGGCTAGGAGAGGCAAGGGGAGGTAAGACGAGACTAGATTGAAGAAAGACAAGACAATCTTTCCTTCATGATGGAGCCGTTTTGCATGTTGGGATCTTTGGGGCTGATCTGTCAACGACCCATCAGCACTTGCAAGTCAGAGCTCAGATCTGACCAACTCCAACGCCGCGCTCGCGATCTCGTCCGCGCTGATGAGCCTGCAGCAGGTGGATAAGAGACGGAAAGAGGGATAGTGAGTACTCACTTCTCTCCTACCTCATGCTCAATCACTGCGAGGATAACACACAAGTCAGCACCAGCACTTTACAGCACATCGCCTACTTTGCCGCATGTCTGAGATGAGAGGAGTGTCGACGAATCCTGGACAGATGGCATGCACCTGGCAACCAAGTCAATTCATCTGCGTCATCCAATAGTCTCCTTCACTTTGATAGGATTCTCAGGGCCGAGATGCAAGCCAGCGGCTCTGACGCAACAACTCAACATGGATCGCTCTTGCTCGTGCTCTAAATCACCTTGTGAATTGATTCACTCCCGCCTGAACAACACAGAACATCTCAGATCGATTGCAGTCAACACCTTCACGCAGGACCTTCGTTGCAGAGTAAACCGGAGCGTTTGAGAGAGGAATAAATGCCGAAAGTGAAGACATGTTGATCACAGAACCCCCTGATCGTCATCGTCAAACCTTCTCTCAAAGATGCTCATTCTCAAACACCATGTCCATGATCCTTCATGTGGCGGATCTGCACCAGAAAGACTAAGAACTTGTGGGATTTCAAGGAGACAAATGCATACAGCAAGCTTTGACCCTTCGATTACCTGCGAGCTGTCACTCAGATCCATTAGCCCCTAAACCTCCTCACCGCTTGAAGGTTGATCGATAGGATCTTCTGCACATTCTCGCGCACGGTATCCATCATCGCCTTTGATCAGAGCACGTCAATCAATCAATCTCTATACAGCCTACAACCAAACCTTGTTGCTGAAAGGACGATGTCTCGTCTCACTCTGGATTCCCGCATTGTTGACCCATATCTGACATGTTCATTCAGACTTAATCACTGCCATGAAGCGAAACGACTCTCACCGACACATGTCCATATGGTTTGCAAGACTGGTGAAGCAAGTTCTATTGAAGGCAGTTTTTGGTTAGAGGGGTTGGTGAGAAGAACACTGGCCGTTTGCCTCTAGATCTTTGAACTTGGTGACGTCACAGGGGCAGTACATGATCGCTGTTTGTTGAAGAGATCAGAAAATTTCCTCGATTGGTTGGTCCTGCATACAATCATCGGTGCTTGGAGGCTTCTGAACATCGCCGATGATTACTTTGGCACCCTCCCTGAATGTAGTTGTGAATCTGACAAGTTTGCTGCATTTCTCTCACCTCTTCAACATGTTTGCGATGGCCAATCCAATTCCAGATGAGCCTCCTGTGATGACCGCAGCCCTGCCATTGGATTTGAACAAGCTAAATACGAAGCAGTCTGCAAGGCTTCTGATCTTCGTATTCTTGTGAAACCTACTAACCGACCTTGCTCTCATCGTACCATCCGTTTGCCCTTATCATCACCCTATTCTGATCTCTTCTGACCCCCTCTCATTCTCACACGCAATCTGGTCATCTTCTTTATCGCGTCTTCACTGCACTGACACCAGATCAAAGCGTTGCTGGATCTTGGTCATCGTCAACTGTTGTCTACACCATCTCTCGTCTTCATTAACACGACCATATCCATCATCAATGTCATCATCATCATCATCGTCATCGTCATCACAACGACCTGAAACATCCTTCTCCCTCCACCTTGTCCCTCTTGTCCTCACCTTCCTGTGAGTGCCATGGTTGCGCCGACTAACCTACACACACCCCTACCCCAGATATATCCTGGAAGGACCCCCTACCCCAAGGTCAAATAAAACCCTCAACATGAGGACTTTTGGCGACAGTCTCGTCGCTTTGCTTGAGTGACGAACGTCCTCCCGCTCCTCCTCTGCTCGTTTCTCCTCCTCCTCCTCCTCCTCCTCCTCCTCCTCCTCCTCCTCCTCCTCCTCCTCCGTCGCTTCCTTCTCCTTCTCCTTCTCCTTCTCTTCCCCCTCTCCTTGTCGCCACTCAGACTCTCCTCACGACTCTGCATCGATGTCACCCATGTCAACTCGTGTGCTGATTGAGCTCTGTGATTGTTCAGCAATCAGTTTTGCCATCCTGTTTGGCATGACCTCCTTGTTTGAAGATGAATATCACCGGCCCACGGGTAATTAAACATTTATGAAGACAAGGGCGAAAACAAAGATTGAGTTCCACAGTGTGGTATCATGATTTAAGATTCTTCCTCCTGACACCTGAGACATACTAAGAGCAAGTGCTTGCAATAAATCACTTCATACCGAGCTTCGCCGAAGACAAGGGGTAATGAATTCCCATATGATCACCCGCAAAGGTTCCATGAAGAATATCCATCCACACGAAAGGAAACGCAAAGTTACAATCAAAATGCTCGTGATGCTGCGAACAGGTCAATCCAGTTCAGAATGTGGAGCACAGGTCATATTCCACTGACCTTGTCATGATCTTCAGTGTTGTAAATCCCAAGGAAACCCCACTTGATTCCACTATGGTCCAAGATTCCACAGACCCCCATGATGGCCATGTAGAGCACAAAACCGTAGACATGCAAAGGAAAGACGAAGGGGGGAGAGTAAAGAATGCAATAGTAGCCGACGGCTTCAACAGGGTGGATGTACATGTCATCGAACGGCTGTGGCGACTTGTAGCTATGATGCATCTGATAAAAGCATGTCAGGAGGGAGCAACTGACAAGAGAGAGGTTCTCGGCGCCTTTGAGCCAGCTCACCTTGTGGAAGTGCTTGTAGAAGAAAGGAAGGTGCATCAACCTGTGCCAGTAGTACTCTAGAACTGACTGCCATCCCACCGCCAAGCAAAAGGTTCCTACAACCCCAGGAAGGCGGCCCGCAGCTTTCCAATCGAACAGGAGACGCGTGCTCCCGCGCACAATGCTGCGCACAACAAACCCTGCAGAACACCCGGCTGTGATCACGTTCATCGCGCAAACAAAGTCGTGGTACTCCTCCTTTCCCTCTCTCCTTCCGAACCACCGTCCTAAAAACGGGGACCAGCACGCTGGAGACTGGAGACGGACGAAGCGTTGGGGTTGGATCTTCCATTCTTGCGGCGAACATCTTCTTCGCAGGTAGTAGACAGCCTGAAGGGCGCAGCTGAGCCCATGGTAGCCCACTACGATCGCTGCTGCCCCAGCCAAGAACGCCCGACCTACCATGCCGGAGAAGGGGGGGATCAAAGTATAATTTTCAGTCAACTGCGAGTCTACATAGAGGCATTCGAGCAGGCGCAATGGCGGGGAGGTGGCTTTTATTCCTGGTCATGCTAAAGAGCGCCATGGTGCAGCAGGGAAGCTCCTTCCAACTGGGATGTCCTACATGTCCTCCTTGCCGAGCTTCTCTCTTCACATGTCCAAGCATCTTCCTCAAGCACCGCATCGCACGTTCTGTTGTCTTTTGTATCCCCGATGGCAAAGAAACGGAAAATAATGTGGGCGAAGATCCAGAGGTTCGGTCCAAGAAGTTCAATGCCTTCCTGGTGAAGCTCAATGACCCTCATGTACTTGAGAAGCTCTGTATTATGTGAGCTTGACTGACGTCTTGAATGTCTTGTTCTCAGAGGATACTCCGTGCTTTCGTTGAGGAGGACGAGGAGGTGAGGGAGGAATTCAATAAGGTCGTTTGGTGTGCGTGATCTGACTGCGTTCAGAGTGGAGGTAATATTTCTGTCATCAACTACATCACAATCTTGCGGGGTATCTTAAGCGCATGCAAAGCGAACAACCGTCAAGTCCATCTACTCACTGATAAAGCCACGTTGAGGTATATTGGCAACTGAACATTGGTTCTGTTTGAAGGTTTTTCAAGAATCGTTCGGACACTATTAACATTACTTGAAGAAGAGCCTTCCAAGTTCGATCTTCGATCTTACACGTCCTTGGCATGGTGTGGAACGAGGGCCCAACAACTTCTCGGTCAACAAAAGAATACAGAGGGGAAGCCATATGGTGACATTGTAAATCACGTTTTTCAAAGATTTTTGGACTTGAGGGTAGATGACATAGACATCGAAGCTGTTGCAAGGTATATCTGGAATACTCAAATGCTTTCACAATCCATGACTCATTTTCTCTTTGTCTAGACTTGCATGGTGTGCATCCAAAAGTTCGTTGCCAAAAAAGGTCAAGATGGAGGTATGTGCATTTTACCTTAAGGAAACTTTTAGCTGATCTGATTCAGGTGATGCAACAAGTATCCGTTCGGCTGCAGAATATTCAAGGAGAGGTTTTGAGCCCCCTGGACATCTCCAACATTGCCTGGTCATTCGGCAATGTAGGCTATCAGGATGTTGACTGCATGAGGTGACTATAAGTCATTGCAAACTCCCTCAATCCCTTGCTCTCTTCCTCTCCCGTCCTCTCTTCTCTCTGATCTTTCGGTTTGAATGCAGAGTCCTCTCAAATATGACCCTTACGTGTGGCTTGAAGAATTTCTCAGCTCAAAGTCTAAGCAATCTTCTCTGGGCCATTGCGAAGATTCAATACAAGGATACAATACTGGCTTCAAGCGTGCGGGAAGAGGTGGTTGCTAGGGGATTAGAGAACTTCAAGAGTCAAGAGGTGTACTGATTTGCGGACTATGGCAGCTAAAATCTCATTTATTGTAGATTTCGAATCTCGTATGGGCGATGGTCATCATTCAAGGTGGTTTGGATGATTCAGTTTGTAATTTATTGGAAGATTGGTCAAGGCATTCTTCTTTCAAAAATCCTCAGGTTCGAATTCTCCGTCTCAATTTGTCCTGTTTGAAGGTGGTCTATGACAATTAACTTAGGAATTATCTATTGTGCTCTGGGCGATAGCCAAATCTTGGAAAAGACTCTCGTGTTCCTGCAGCAATTTGTTTGACAAAGCAAAAAAGGGCCTGTTGCATCCTTCATCTCAGTTGTCAAGATATTCTCCTCAGGTGCATTTTTCTCTTTGTGTTTGTGCGATCATAATATTCAGCCAATAGTCAATTTCAAACATTGTATGGGCTCTGGCAAAGTGCAATGAGATCAATGACGACATCTTGCAAATGTTTTCTGATCATGTAAGTTTTCTATACATCCGTGTATTGATCTTACTCAAATCTCATCAGGTCATGAAGGTGGGATTATCAAGTTTCAAGGTCAAAGATGTCTGCCTCCTTATCCATGGATATTCGAATTCTAATGTCGGCTACGAACTTTTCGAAGCACTCGTTCCATGGCTGCAGCAGATAGGCTTACAGCAACTCACTGAAGATCAGATCACAAGTTTTTCGTGGGTCTTGGCAAACAGGTTGCGTGTACGTCAGGTTCCAAATACGGGGACCAAACAACTTTCGCAGAATTCGCGGTATTCTCACTCGTCCTTGGATCCTTTGGATGAGAGTTTTGGTCAGCACAAGGAGGATATTGCCGAGCTACAGCTGATGATGTTGATTCGCACTTGGGTACTCTCCAATCCCTTGAAGGGATTCAGGTCCAAGGACTTGTCTCTGCTCGTCTGGTCTTTCGCTGTTTCGTTCCCCATGGAGAAGTTGATCTTGTTTCCTGTGAATGAGTGCCTTCGCTCTCAGGACATCAGCACTTTTTCAACTCTCTCCTTGGTCAACATCGCCTGGGCCTATGCGCACATACTTAAGGGAAGGGATGAGTACTTCGTGGATACCATGAAAGGAATCAGCCAAGAGATAGAGAGAAGGGGAGTGCACAACATCCCAAGCCATCAACTTTCCAGTTTTGCCTGGTCCTGTTGCAAACTTGGGCTAAGGGACGAACGGCTTTTTCAGGATATAGCGTGCCTCCTCGATGCTGGCTTTCTGCAGAAGCTGACCAATCACTCATTGATCTCCTTGCTATGGGCTCTCGGGATAACTGACGTCATGAAGCATATTCAACTCACCATCTTCGAGCAAGAGATTCTCAAGAGACAAGTGAGGTCGTTCAATGCGATCGAGTTGAACACGGCAGCACTGGCCTTCTCACGGACTCGCTACCAGGGTAGAATATGGGAGGAGCTCGATGCTGAGGCCATCCGCAGATCTAGGGGAAAGAAGGGGAAATGACAGCCGGACATTCCTGAATCCACTGAATGTGCAAGAATGGGTTCTTTGTTATTTGACAACTCGACGTAGTTTACATTTTTACTGTACAATATACATATTTGAAGCTAGATAAGACCGTCCAAGAATTTTTCAATTAAATGTTCAAAAACCGCGTCAATCGCTTCTTGAAATAGCAGCTCACTTCCATTCTTCGCGAATGAAGGAGTTAACCAAAGGCCCTCTGATTGAGTGTTTCAACTGAAATTATTTTCTGTTCCTGCAACGAGCTTTCATCAGTCTCGTGAAATTATCCCAACAACTCCCACACATGACTATTGAGTTCGGTTCAAAGGGAAGTCAACGAAATCATCATCGCAAAGCGTATGAAAGAGATAATGTAGGTCGTAAGATGTTTTCATTACCGAATCAGAGAGCATTCTCAGCATCACACCTCCTCTGCCTTACCTCTCATCGCGTATTTAGTGTGCAGCGCATTGAGATCCTTCACCGCACGTGCTGTCTCTACGTAACGCTGGCTGCTTCATCCCCCTCATACCGAAGTTCACGTGACAGGCTCGCCGTCCGCCCGGCCCGGCCAGCCTCCCGGAGTCCGAACTTCAAGGCTTTGCCGGGCGGCCGGACGGTGACTCTAGAGCCTGAACTCTCTGCCAGAAACTTGCGGGCCCAGACTAGGCGGTCAGAAGAGAAACCCGCTGAGAACTTGAACCACGCTGTCTTCTGTGACTGCAGTGCGCGGCCGCAGGCGCGGGCCCAGCCGGCACCGGCCGGGCGGCGCGCGCGCCGGGCGGGCCCGGCCCCGCCTCCCGCCGCGAGTCACGTGACAGTGACTGAGTCGCCGCCGCTAGCGGCCGCCCGGTTGCAGTCGGACTCCGGCGGGCCGTTGTATGGGGCGTACACTAGTGCCACCCGGTGACCGTGAAGGTGTGCAAAATGCGACCAGGCGGATCGAAGACTACCGGTCCTTTTCAGAGGCATTCTTTCTTTCCCGCACCGGTCCCGCTGCCCGGTGACTGCCCGACGGTGCCTTGTGACCCTCGCTCAGGCTCCAGAGTGACACGCCTTAGTTCAACAGCCACCCCACCGTACCGTGACCCTGGCAACCGTGGACTCGGGACAATGATCACCCCCATAGACACCTGGAGAAGTACCGGTGCTAGTATCGAGAGTTCACCCTACCCCTAACATGTTGAGATACGACCGTCCAGTCGCCTTCTTGAATGACCAATACCTCTCCCCCGTTCTTGGGTTCCGCTGTGTCCGCTCTTCCCTCTATTCCGCCATGTCCTTCCTTGCGCTTGGCTCCTCCTTCTTTTGATGTTGAGTCTGTGGAATATCTCATGAGTGCTTAGTTTCAGGCTATAACTTGTGTCATGCCGTTCATGTAATCTTCATCCATTTGTGTCTTGTATTTGATTTTTGATTCTTTTTTCTGGATTTTTCCTCACTTGTCATCTTCGACAGATCGACCTAAAGGCAGCATGTCTAAATACGAGACAAGACTTTTCATCGATGGAGAGTTTGTCAACTCCATCTCCGGCAAAACTTTCAAGACCATCAACCCTGCAACTGAGGAGGTCATTTGCGAAGTGCAAGAAGCGCTTCCAGAGGACGTGGATCGTGCCGTGATCGCTGCAAACAAAGCCTTTGAACGAGGATCGCCATGGCGAGAGATGGACGGCACCAAGAGGAGGGACCTGCTCTTGAAACTCGCAGACCTCATGGAGCAGAACAAAGAGGAGCTTGCAGTGTTGGAGTCACTGAACAACGGCAAACCCGTCTCATCAAGTCACGGCGATCTTTCCCTAGCAATCCAGCATTTCCGTTACTTTGCAGGATGGGCCGACAAGATCGAAGGCAAAACGCTGCCAGTAGAGGGCAACTTTTTCGCTTACACATGGCATGAGCCGATCGGACCAGTTGGACAGATCATTCCCTGGAAGTGAGTTTTGTAGTTTTGATTGTGAGATGATACATGCTGAGCGGCTTGCTGTAGTTTCCCAGTGCTCATGCTTGCTTGGAAGCTTTGCCCTGCTTTAGCTGCTGGATGCACTGTTGTTCTCAAGAGCTCTGAGAAAACTCCGCTTTCCGCCTTGTACTGTGCAGGGCTTATCCAACAGGCGGGCTTTCCGAAAGGAGTTGTCAATATTGTGTCTGGCTTTGGAGATCCGACCGGAAAAGCAATTGCCAGTCACATGGACTTGATGAAGATTGCTTTCACTGGCTCGTCAATGACTGGACGTCTGATACAGAAGTATGCAGCAGAGAGCAACATGAAGAATGTGAGCCTCGAGCTAGGAGGAAAGTCTCCTCTCATCATTCTGGAGGATGCTGATTTGGAGCAAGCTTTGGGTCTTGCTCAGGTAAGTCCTTGAAGGTTGAATATGATGAAGATACCATGCATGATTTTCTCTCAGCTTGGACTTTTTCTCAACCAAGGCCAAACGTGCTGTGCAAGCTCTCGCATCTTTGTGCAGGTTTAGTTGTTCATTCGATGAAGCCATGCAACTTTCATGACGCATCGACGTAGGAGAGCATCTATGACAAGTTTGTCGAGTTGGCGACTCAGCAGTCCAAGGCTAGGGTTCTTGGCGATCCAAATAACCCTGCAACCATGCAAGGGCCACAGGTGGACAAGATACAATTCGATCGAGTCATGGGCTACATCGAGAAGGGAAAGAAGGAAGGGGCCCGACTCACGACAGGAGGAGAAAGGTTTGGAGACAAAGGATACTTCATTCAGCCCACTGTATTTGCCGATGTCCAAGACAATATGGTGATCGCCAAGGAGGAAATCTTCGGTCCAGTGATGTCTTTGATGAAATTCAAAACTGTTGAAGAGGTGATTGACCGCGCTAACAACACCTCCTTCGGCCTGGCAGCTGGTGTGTGCACCAAGAACGTCCAGGTCGGCTTGAAGATTGCAAGAGCTCTTCGAGCAGGAACTGTTTGGTTCAACTGCTTCAATAACTTTGATGCTGCTGTTCCTTTCGGAGGATACAAGGAGGTGTGTCGCTGATCTGACAGTCTTTAAAATCTCTACATTATCCTCACTTGCCTGTTTTGATAGAGCGGAATTGGACGCGAGAAAGGACCTTATGCTCTGGAAAACTATTTGGAGGTCAAGAGCGTCATGATTCCTTTTGACCCATAGAGGATTGAACCGTGCGGCCTGACAGACTCCTCGCCATCATATTATAGTATAATATGAGTCAATAAACTTTGTCGCCGGAACAGGCTATTACTTTTGAGTAAAGAAGTGACTAAAGCGTGCAGGCTTGTCGGACCGTCGCGGCCCGGCACTGCGACCTCCGACCGACCGACCGGACCCGGGGCCCGGCGGGCCTGCACGTGGCACTGCAGCACTGCGACCGTACGGTAGTCGATCTGGTGTAGCCTGCCTGGAGGCAGTGATTTTTAGTAGGGGTCATTTTTACCACTTTGCAGGGGTCTAGCCAAGCGCTGGGTCAGGGGCAAACTTTGACAGCAGCTGTCATAGGCGTCGGTGAGGACAGACACATGCTGTAGTCACTAGTAGAGCAGCACTGCGGCAGGGCATCGGAGCGGTACTGTTGGCCTCAGAGTCGAAACTGACTGGTAGGCATCTCAACTGGTTTTTGAAATTCAGTTCGGAACTTGACGCCCACTGAAAAACGAAACTATGACTCCACTTGGAAGTGAAGCCTTCAAAGGCCTAGCCTAGATTCTACCTTCTGCCTACTCAAAGATAGCGATACCAGCAGACAATTAGGGCCGAGAGACTCTTAACCTGAAGCAAAGTCACTACTCAGTAGGCTGTCACTCGGAACGGAATCATCTTGCTTCCTTTTTTGGAGGGTCCTGTGGTTGAAATAGGAGCAACAAAGCATGCGACTCTCCTTATGATGCAATTATAGACCTTTCGCATAATTTTTTGATTTCGCTGTAGCACTTTGGAAGAACATTTATGGATTTTGACGTTCATTTTTACAATGCCTGTGGGTTTTATATATAACATACTGATAGGTCCTCTCTATCCACGTAAAAAGCGGCACAACAAGGGTACCGCACACAAGAGTCTCAATGAGCCTGTAGCGGGAGAGAAGGAAAGGCGAGTAGAGATATACACAATACGAGGCCAGAAGCGCACATTGATTTGACGACAACAAAGTCTTTCATCTCCCAATACTTCGGTTGAGTACTTGGCTCAAACAAAGCGATCAGGTCCACCCACATTAATTGTTTGTTTACTCCTCTTTTCCTGTGGACGAAACTGCAAGCTTGTGACTCCCCTAAGCGCGGCAACCTCGTTCAACAATGGGAACTGAGAGCAGCAAAGCGTCGGTAATGTTTCCTCCATGCGATGCCTCATGATGGTCGTCTGCAGGGCTCGACATCATCAAATTCGTCCAAGGTAATGCATACTCGATTGTGTTTACTTGGTGACGAAATTCACAGCCAAATCAAAATTCTTCGAGCAAAAACATCTATGATCAGATTAAAAAGCAATCAGACGATGACAGCTACCAGGCAGCTCTTGCCAGATCGAATTCTTTGAAGTAATCAGAATCCTGCAATTCTTCTACAGATGCTGACCAGTGATGATGGCAGGGGTAGAGTTTTCGATCCTTTGACTGGGAGGTGGAAAGAAAATCCTAATCCAAGGCGAGAAGATTGCCAAGTGAGTAGTTGATACTGAATCGTTCAAATGTCTGACATCTTGTAGTCGTCAGACGGTTTTGCTGTGAAAACCTTTCCCAGCGGCAACAAATACGAGGTTGACCAAGATAAGCAGGGGGAGCTTGCTTTCTCATTTGTTTTGGTTTCTCCCAGGGCGAATGGAAAGATGGAAAATATCATGGCAAAGGAAAGTTGATTTATGCAGACGGCAGACAGTACGAAGGCGAATGGTTCCATGGGGTAATGGTTTTAATTGTCCCACAGCAATATCTTGACTGTTCCAACATTGTACAGGTCAATCACGGCAAAGGAAGTTTCCTGTATGCCAATGGGGATCGCTATGTCGGAGAGTATAGGGTGAGATAAACCTACTTCACTCTTGATGGCCATGATACCCTTTAGGGCGGGAAACAACATGGTCAGGGTAAGTTTCTGTGGAAGAACGGAGACAAGTACGTTGGTCAATGGCAAAACGGGAAGAGGCACGGCAAGGTAAATAAAGTGAAAGGGGAAAGATCTACAGGGAACTCAGAGGTTTGACAGGGCGAACTTGTCAAAGTCAACGGCGATGGGTACAAGGGCATGTGGGCAGACGGTGTGTTCCTTAGTGAGGCGTGCTTTCCGAACCCTCACACACCTTTGGTACAGGCCACCCTGATATGCAACTGTTGAAGAATGTACATAGTAGATCGAAATGAGTGTCACAACCATATTTCTCCATGGAAACTTCAAAGTGGTCGAGCCCTTTTTAAAATCTCAATCACATTTTTAAGGAGAAATGCATTTTTTCTGTAACATTTTTGCAATAAGTTAGGTTCCCAACTTACAATCTAGGTTTTCGGTAAATGCTGCGAGAATTCCATATACCTTACACCGAAAGATCTTCACTCAAACTTGCTCGTCGCTCAACGCCTCTTGGACTTGGTCTTGCGCGAGGATTTCGAGAACGAGTCGTAGATGCTGCAAGAGATCAGGCACACGAGTGTGGAGACAGGAGGACATGCTCACCCATAGCAGGCGAGGAGGACGATGAGGAGAAAGATGAGTCCGGGAACTCCGCCTTGTTCCACCATGATGACCCAGTAGTAGTGCAGAGTTCCTGCCATCAACATCAGAGCAAGAAAAGGTCCTGTCCTGAGTCCTGAGGTGCACCTGGTCGTTGGACTCCGTGGACGGTGATATGATACTCAACTGACGTTGCACTCGTTCAGGGCATGAAACATGCCCGTCAGGTTGGAACCTGTGCTTCCGATGGGAACCGGCTTAGACTTGAAGCGCTTCAAGGGATCATCGAAGGCCGTGTGAGGAGGCATCCTCACGATCCTGTTCCACTGTCATCTCACCACAGTGAACACTCTCCTCTGCACCTTGTCTCTCCTACACACTGCCCCTTAATGCCCGTCTCCATCCCTTTGATTATGCTTCCTAGAATCAGAGTCAGTTTCATGAGCGATCGTCAGAGTCGTTCTCGTCAGCGTTGGTCAGGTCATGGACAGACCTTGTCCGATCTTCACCTTCAAGAACGCATCACCGTTCCCGTCAAACTGCTGTCTCGTGTCCACAAGATACCCAGCATGGGAGATGAAAACGATGTCGTCGTCTTGCACGACATACGAGCTGCAGTCTCCCTTCTCCTTGACTATGTACTGCACACCGTCTCCTCCTGCAATAACAGCATGATAAACTTGAGGAATTTCGTGGACGTAGACGAACCTTTGATGTCTATCCATGAATCCTCGGCCGACTCAGTCGCACCTGCTGTGGTTACGTCAAGAGGATCTCACGGAGGTACAAGCCGATCGAGTTTTTACCAAGGCAGAGCAGTGTGAGAATCAACGGGAGCAATCTGAAACGAATTTATCAGAACAGATCTCATTCCACCACGCAATTTCTGGTGGCAACTTCAGGGAAACAGGAGAGTGCGGCAACAAGAGGAATTTTCAGTGAGCACATCTCATTGACCAGCACTGGGTTGCCCATTGCTCTTGACACACAACCACCTGCCCTTCAACTCTGCTCACACGCTGTTCCCTTGCATGGTTTTCCTCTTCCTCCCTCCTCCTCCTTCTCCGCCACTTACCCGATCGTTCGCATCTTTGCCGCCTCTGTCCACATCATCCCTACTCTGCCCCCCTCATCCCCCTCATTTAATTACCGAATCCCAGACCAGATCCCAGACCAGATCCCAGACCACATCCTCCACCTGATCCTCCTCAGCATTCCTGCTGCATTCTTCTCAAGATGGCAGCAGAACTGTCGGCAGCAGAGCTCCTGCAGCTGGACAGCAACCAGGACAGCAACTGGTTCTGTACTTTCATCGGATTAGAGTAGACTCCTCATGATCAGTAACGACTCCGGGAGTCCGCGATCAAGTGGACCTGGATGGGCGGCACTGTGGCATTATCAAACTGCCTGACGGCCGGGGACGACCGTGTTGACACCTTTATATATATTTTCACAAACATGACAGCAGCCTCTCCGAGCCTCTCCCCAGGATCTCTTGCGAACTTAGGCAGTGGTTGCCGATGCTACTCCCCTGACAAGTTGTCACAGCGAACGGCAAGTCGGATCGCACACCGCCGCTGTGAGTCATCTACTGAAGCTTGAACTCTGAGACAGGATGACATGTCTGGTCAGATAAGTCATGCTGTCTTTCGGGAAGATTTGGATCAAGATGGAGGTTCCAACTTTTCCCACTAGCAGGTGATGCACTTCATCTACAGGAGTTCCCTCAACCAGCCTCTTTGAGTTCACACTCAAGACCAGATCCCCCACCCGGCACGTGCCTTGTCTCTGCATTGAAATCCCATGTCATCTCAAAGATAGGGCCAAAATGTTTCGCTCACCTCACACGGACTTCCTTTCTTGATGTCCGAAACGCAGAAAGTTCCAGCAGGGAACACTTCACCGTTCATCTGGATGGATTGCTTGATGGGTTCTAGAACCAAACCTGCCTCAACTATGGTGTCTCTGATGCTCTTTCTATCTCCTGTCATATCATATGCGTCTCTTTGAATGTCCCATGTTCGATGCTTACGAGTGAAATCTTTCTCAGAAGCCCGAGAGCCCGGAATGGAAGCGAGCTCGTCAGCCTGGTACAAGAACTGCAGATCGGGTACCGCCGGGTTCACAGACTTGGCAGGTGCTTCAGGCTTTGGCAACACCTCTGGCACTGCTTGTGCAAACAACACCTCGTCATTCCAACTTGATCTATTTGGCGTTGTTGGGGTAAGGATGCTGATTTCCTCCTCGGCCTGTTCGTATTCATCCGCTGTGCAAACATCGCCATACCCGCATATCAGCTTGAGAAAAGCGAAAATCAGCAGTACTGCACTACCCAAAGATGAGATGAAAATCACTACATTCACAGCAGAGTCCCTGCAGAACAATTTAGCTGTATGTACACAGATTCAATCGTGTACCTGTCGGAGGTTTCGACTGGGAGCCATGCAGCAAGGAGGAAAGCAGCACAAAACAAGGTGAGGGATGCAAAGAGAGTGCAGCAGAAATCTCCTCGCTGGAAGTTGAGGATGGGAATTTGCCGCGCCATGGTTCTTTATGCTCTTTTCCCTCCCCCCACTGCCATGGCACCGATCTATTCCTGGATTACCGAATCTGAGGGGGGCTCGATGTTCTACTTGTTTTTTGATTTTTGTCCCAAAACTTGTCTTTGAGCAAAAATTCCTAAAAGCAATACTGCATTCGAGGTCCAATGCAGGGCAAGCGGCAGAAGGGCGTAGCGAGTAATGGAGAAGGAGGATAGTTCTCATCACAGAGCAGAATCTAGCGACAGGAGGAAGATGATGCTGTCTAAGGCCACATGTTTCCTTCATGAAGTAGAGGTGATCGATTTGAAATGAGGTCCAGCATTGAAACTCGTTCAGGAAGCGAAGGCAAGGCGCGAGGAGCTCTCTGCCAGATCATTGAAGGTCAGAGATCTTATTTCGAGCAATTTTATCTGACGTGCAAGTGTCTAGTTGCAACAAGACCTCTCTGCTGTGAGAAAGAAGACAGAGTCCGTTCAGAAAGAGGTGCTTGCGCCGATGTTTCATTGAAGCCCCTTTGATCACTTTCATTCATCGTTGCAGATTTCTCAAGCTAAACTAAAGCTTGCTTTCTTGGGAAAGACTGAGTTGCTGGATGCTGGAGAAGACGTGTACACATCTTTCTTGCTGGTTCATGTCGTCTCCTGGACACAGCAGACCTGATTCTTGTTTCAGACGTACGATAAGATATCCTCGCTCACCAATGCTAAGGTATGACAGCCGGCAGTTCCTTCAGGCGGGACTCTCATCTCTAACGGGTTTGCGGTACAGGTCTACTTGGATGCTGTGGAGGCATTACATTCCAACTCCCAAGAGGTTACATTGATTGAGCAAGGAACATCGGCAAGTGCCAGCAGGAGCCGCAGGGAGCTGTTCAGTTTCTTCGGAAGTTTGGGGAACGAAGAGGAGGGAGAGGGCAAGGAGGAGGGAGAGCATCCTAATCGTCAGGATCTGCCGCAAGAGACGAACGCGCACAAGACGATCCTGCACTTGCGCAGGTCAAGTGCACTGGCGTATGATACCTGTATTTCTCTGGCCGGTGGGGAGGCCGCAGGGGGTGGTCGCATGCAAGTTTGTTTTTCAACGAGGAGAAAGGGAGTCTGCGTGAGGGTAACAGTGAGAGAAGCGTGCCGGGATAGACAGGGCGAGGGCGAGGGCGAGGATTGTGATGGGTACATGCTAGATTTCGAGTTCAACATGTGTTTGCCGGGAGTTGTGGAGGACGCAAAGAAGGTCTGGAAAGAGGAGAGATGTGCGAGAAAAGTTGTGAGAGAAGCTGTTTGGCCGAAGATCGACCAACACTTATCTCACACCGTTGATGGAATCTGATATGAGAAGCCAGAATTTTGCTCCTCCCGTCACGCTCCTTCCTTCGGAGGAGCACCTTATATTTATTCTTTGTGCACAGGCTTGAGTAGAAAATCGACTCCTTTTCAAATTACAAATCTCTGTCACTGGTATCACCTCAGCTTTTTTAAAATGTAGGCCTAGAGCTTCATGAATTTGCCTTCAAGAAACTTCAGGAGGGCCTGGGAGCACGTCAGCACAATTTATTCCCTCTCTCCAGACCGCCCACCCTCTTTCTTCCTCTCTCCCCCATTCCCCCCCCTCCCCTCTTCCTCTGGCTCGAATCTTCACCGGAATCTTGACAGGCTTGGGGAAGAAGTCGCTCATCCCAGCTCCCATGCACTTATTGACATCCGAAACATCTGTGTTGGCAGAGAGAGCGCAGATGAACTGATGCGACTCAGTCAGCTCGTGGTCAGCTGCACACCACCTCATAGCTCTGCACCTGTGACGTTCTCGACTGCGTGCTCTCCCACGCTCGTAGTCTCTTCACACACTCCACTCCGTCCATCACCTGAACCAGCAGGCTGTGAGCAGCACAAGAACGAGGGGGAGCAAGATGACCGGCATCATGATGTCGCACAGGACCATGTGGAACATTCTCCTCTGCCTGCGACCTTGTCACGCTTTCACGTCATCGCGTTCAGGAGGCGTACATCTGCTCCAGCCCTTCCTCCCCATTGCCTGCCTGATGTACCACGTAGCCCTTCCTCTTGAGCCCGTGAACCATCAGCGTCCGTGTGGGAACGTCGTCCTCCACTACGAGGACATGTAGCTCTCCATCATTGGCCTGAAGGTAAGAAATCAGCCAAGTTGGGCAAGGAGGCTGATTTGAACCTTGATCTCCTGCTGAATCTCTGCGGCCTGCACCGTTTCGATCTTCTTGCTCCCCTCCTTGTTCACCTTCAGCTGGGAGTCCTGCGCCTTCCACTTGACGTCGCAAGTGAGAGCAGCGAGAGCTGTCGAGCACACTCCATCGTCGTCGTTGGTAATCGGGACGTAAGGAACTTCAAACCAGAAAATCGTCCCCTTGGGCTCGTTCATCGTAACCCCACACGCTCCTCCCAACTTGATCGCTTTCTCTCTCACAGAGAACAAACCTAGGCCTGTTCCTCCGCTGAAGTCCTGCAGCTGCCCGAAGGGCTTGAAGAGGAGGTCCATCTTGTCCTTGTCGACGCCGATACCGGTGTCCGCCACTGAGAACCTGATCATGCTCTTCCCCTCCCTTGACTTGGAGAGAGAAACAGTCGTCCTGATGTACCCATGGGTGGTGAACTTCCTAGCGTTGCAAAGGTAGTTCATGAGCATCTGCCACACCCAATCCTCATCCGAGATGATCTTCTTGTACACTCCCGCCTTGATTACGAACTCATAGGAGACATCGATGGACTGGTGCGTGTACCCCAGCACAACTTTCTCACTCTTCCTGAGCATCTTCTCGAGGTCGAACGCCCCGCGGGCTGCATGCAGATCCTTCCCCATGGTTGACTTGGTGTGATCGATGGCTTTGGTGCAGGTCAACGACATCAGCTCTGCGGAGATCTCCATTGTATCGATGAGGCTCTTCTGCTCCGAAGTCAAAGGAGTGCTGGAAAGAGCTTGCAAGCCAAGGTAGAAGCTATTGAGAGGAGTGCGGAGGTCGTGAGCGACTTGTCCGATGTAAGCCGTGTTCATCTCCTTCGCCCACACTTGCGCTCCCTCATGCACCTCATCGATCCTCTCTCTGTGCTTCTTCGCTAGCTTCTCCCTCAGTTCGATCTCTGCCACGACCAAGCGCCCGAGCATCTCCAGCAGGAGAACCTCGTCATCTCGCAGCGTCCGAGGCTTCTGGTCGATGATGCAGATGGTTCCCAGCTTCCACATGCCGTCATCCGTGTACAGCACTAACGGTGCCCCTGCGTAGAAGCGTATGTAGGGCTCGCCGAGAACAAGGTCGCTGTACTTGAACCTCTCATCTTCATAAGTGTCATTCACAATGAATACTTTTGGCTCTTTGGGCAGGATCGCATGGGCGCAGAAAGCAACATCCCTATGGGTCTGACAAACATCGACACCGACAGCTGACTTGAACCACTGACGTTCCCTGTCCACCAGACTGACAAGAGCGATGGGTACTTTGAAGATGACCGAGGCGGCTTCTGTTATCCGATCGAACGAGTGCTCTGCCTCGGTGTCAAGAATCCTCAGGGTGTTGAGGAAGTGAACTCTGTCTTCGTCATCATCAGGAATCGGTGCTGGGACGTGCAGCGGATGCATGTTTTAAGACAAAATCAGTTTCAAGCTGTCGCTTTACTTGGACCTTGTTTCATGCAACCTGCCAATCACGAGCAACTTGTCAGTGACTACCTAGTTATCATCAATTGTTCTTCTGGTTATCTTCACATATTTTTCAATAAAGAAGTGTCAATTTTAGAGTGTCAAATTTAGACAAGATTTGAATGATAATCGCACAGAAAGTGATGGGGTGATTCATTACCGACAACATCAACAAGATGAAGGGTGACAGATGCCACAGTGCTGTGTAGGCTCAACATCATCAAAAGGAAGGAAATTGATGGGACAAGAACCTAATTGAAATTGTCTGAAATCCGAGATATGAAAGTTTGAAGTTTTCATAGAGCACAAGATGACCGTGAGAGAAATGAAAGTCAAAACATATCGGAGAGAGAATTGAGCTCGTGATGAGCATGCAGAAGGAGTTCATACAGTCTTGAACAGATACATGGATACAGAATAGAAGTACAAATGGATGAAGTTGATGGTAGTGTGGAGGTAAAAAAGGAGACGAAACGCGAGTAAGCAGATGAGGGGCGTATTTGGGAGATACAGGGCAAAAGGAAGTACTTTGCCATGAGAACGAGAAGGAAAAGAAGATGAAGCATACGGGGGAAGCTGCTGGGGTAGAGGACAGCAAGATGGGGCGACAATGAAAGGAGTGATGGCGACGAAGACCATTGTAAGGAGGAGGACCAGAGAAAACGTGTCCGCCGAATCCACTATTTGAAAACATCATAAGCATCTGCACTACGAGTGCATGAAAGCGGGGAATACTAAAAACATTTTATTTTCTATATCACATGTAAAATCATATATAGAGATTTTATTTTAGTAGGTATCTCAATTGCAGTTAATGCTTTAGGACTCAAAATTCAGATATTATTTCCAGTAAGAATTGAAAAGTACAACTTAATTTTTAAAATCTAAAAATTATCTAGCATTCCGGTTCAAGTTATTGTTGTGGTCAAATTTCAAATTGACACAGACATGTTCAAATTTCAACCATTGAATTAGCTTTTTCACTGAACTCGGGTAGGGACTCCGTACCGTCCGACAATTTTTCAGCCGCCTGGCCCTGGTGGTCATATCTCCCTCTCGGCCCAGTCACGTCCCCAGGCATTCAGTCTCAGTGAAGTTCAAGTAAAGTTCGGACTCAGTGGCACTGCCCGGCCCGGTTTGATCATCACTCAGTGATGCGCGAGTCGGACACCGTCCCGCCGCCCGGCCAACCGTGAACCCGCCGGCCTACGGTGCCACGGTGGATTGTGTCCCGGAGTCCGATTCCTGATCAGGAACTTGTATGTAGCACTGGCCCAAGAAGGCCCTGAGGCCCGGTAGCGATGGATCAAAGCATAATCTGTCACATGATCTGCTCAATTTCAACTCAGCTGCCCGGCTGATTGCGTCGCTGTGCAGTCACAGAGTCACGGTTTATCGGGGCGCCCAGTGTGAAGGGGCACGGAGAGCGTCCAGCCATTAGTAAATGAGACTCGCCGAAACGAACACTTACGGTGGCTGCATCCGAATGATAAACACCGATGGTCTCTTCGACGCAGTCGGCACAAAATTCGTCATTGCAATCCTGTGAGCGTTGTTCTGCTGCTGAAGGGAATAACGAGCAGCATTTGTGCATAAAAAGACGTGAATTTTCAGTGCATTCCATCAGTTTGCGACGGTTAAATTCATTTCGTCCACAGTGAGCCGATAGGTTTGTCGGTCACTTGGTCAACGATTTTTGTGGCAATCCCTTCAATCTCTTCGGTGACCTCATCCATAGTCTTGTTTGCATCCACTCGTCTCCACATTGCAGGCTCTTGTGACATCAATGCTTCGAAGCAGGTTCGCACCTAAACTCCTTTCATCTCTTTCGCATGGAATCATTCAACATTGCAGACCTTCTTTTGGAACTCTTCTTTCTCGTAACGTTCCTCTCCGTACCCCCCCCTTTGCTTTGCAACATCCTGGCGGCGAGATCAAGAGCACGTCTCATATCAGCATGACAATGCTGCATACCGAAGAGACATCAAGATAAATGACGCAGTCTGGTGCTGGTAGACCCCTGTCTGGGCCTTTGCACCATTCGATGTCCAGCGTCCCCTTGGCGGCACTGAAGGCCACACCAGAGTACGCGTATCTATCTACAATCAAGGTCTCTCCAGATGAGAGGCGGTCGCGAATCGATCTCGTGGCTTCCCAGCGATTGGCAGAAAAGAGCAGGTGGATTACGGCGTCATCTGAAGCAGAATCACAGTATGTCGCATGCACCCAACTGTTACCCAAGTCCTTCCCGCTCTGCAGGTACTCGTTGATAAGACCCCCTACCGTCGTAGTTCGGTCTGGGAAATTCATTTTCGAGGCCTTCTTTCCCATGGAAACCAACTTTTCTACGAGCCGGATCACCTAGACGATGTATGTTAGGAGCACTCGCTCCTCCATGACGCCTTCCACTTCCTCCACACAAGGGATACCCCATCGCAGGACACAGCATACTTCAAGAGGTGGCGATCGCAGGACACAGCATACTTCAAGAGGTGGCGATCGCAGGACACAGCATACTTCAAGAGGTGGCTATCGCAGGACACAGCATACTTCTCGTACCTGAGTCGACTTCCCTGACCTGTCCAGTCCCTCCAGCACAATCAGAGCGCCTCGTCCTCCCATGGCTTCCCGCCAAGTAGCCCGCATCCGAAACCTAACCCCACCCCCTCGTTTTGTTAAATGTAACTATGTACCCGTATATTTGATTGTCAATGGACCCGTACTGAATCCGTCGTAACTTTAAGGACCCCCCACTGGGTAGTCGGAATTGCAGCTGAGGCAGGCTCGGAGTTGAATGGGGACGAGCAGGGGGACGAGGGGCACAACTGGTGAAGGAGGGTGATGAGTTTCAACGGTCCCATGTATGTCGGGAGGGCGAGTCGAAATGCGGTCGATGGGAGCTGGCGATAGAAGATGGCGAGGAGGAGAGGCAGCGACGATGAGATGAGAGATGAGAGCTCTGATATGTACTTAGAGGTGACCTCAGGCTCAATGCTTCATAAGACTCAAGATCTGACAATTGGGATCGCCGCTTCGCTGTGAAACTCGCCGGAATAGATTGCTGCTCGTTCGAAAATGGAGGGGAAGGAGAAGAAGGAAGGCAAACAGAGCTCATCGAAACTGGAGGCGCTAGAAAACAAGAAGCTGATTGAACGACTGCAGTTCGAGAAAGAGTCTCTTCAGAGTCGGGTTCGTGAGCTAATCTCTTCCCATGAGAAGGAAGTTCAATCCCAGCGGACAAAGTATGCTGAGCTGCTCGCACAAAAGGACAGAGGGAGCACGGAGCAGAAGTTGTTGCACTCAATTTCTGCAGCTCTCGTGTCCCTGTTCATCGAGATCAAGGAAAGGAAGGCGCTGACAGTGGTGATGAATCTGCGACTGCAATCTGAGGGCACAGCAAGGAGTCCTGACATTTGCCGTTCCAGTCCGAGGAAATGGAAGCAGAGCATCGCGCGCTCAACAAGGCGAATCCGATGGTGAGATATTGTCAATTCTTGCAGACAGGTTGTGATGGAGTTCTTGAAGGTGATCCTCTCGTACATCCGAACGCACATCAGAAGTTTGCTGTCTTCCTACGAAGACTCGGAGCTCGAACTTCGTGCTCAGGTGACTGTCGGGATGATGGAGAAGAGGCGGATCTCCATGACTTTCTTGCCAGCTCAAACTTGCGTATGAGGAAGCGCAGAGAAATGCGAAAGATCTCAAGGAGAAAGTGCAGGCGGTGAGGCTGTAGATTGCTGGGGATATGCTGGGTGTAAGGTGACATGGTTTGAAATCAGGCACAGGATGGGCAGCTGCGAGCATTGAGCATTGCGGAGGAAGCAAAGGACAAGCTCGAGGTCCCGAGGGAAGAGCTGGGGAGGAGGAGGGAGTGAGACATGAGCAGGACGCGGAGCTCGCCAAGGATTCAGCTCTAACGGACACAAAGAATCTGATCGATCAAGTAAAGAGCGACCAGATGGCGCTGGTGCTGCAGATGAGGGCTAAAGGGGAAGAGAACGAGAAGCTTCAGAGGGTGATCGAGGAGAAGGAGCGTCAGTTGAAGCAGCAGGAGGCACAAGTGCTAAGAGTTTCAGGGCTGGGTAAGTGATGATGGTGGTTGAGACAAGGAGGAGGAGGAGGAGGAGGAGGAGGAGGAGGAGGAGGAGGAGGAGGAGGAGGAGGAGGATAGGCTAGCCTGGCAGGGTTTAGGGTTTAGGGGTTTAGGGTTTGAAAAAACTTATGATGATGATGATTCGCAGAAAGTGAGATTCAGACTCTCAAGGCCGAAAATTTGTTATCAAGAAAGAAACTCGAGGTGAAATTTAAAGACTCGTTGTCGACCTTGTCAATTTTCCTTCCATTAGGCTCAGCACAATGCCAAGACGTCGCATTACAAGAATGAGATTAAGAAGTTAGCAATGATTGAGGTAATCAGGTCCAACAAAGTCTTGCTGGAGTTTCTTATCGGACGCACCAGGCAGAGAATGAAAGTTTACAAGCGAAGCTGAAGTTGTTGGAGTTGGAGTTGAAGAATGTGATGTAACAACACTTGTTTCATGCCATTCATGGGATATACAGGCAAGGACTGCCTACACCTCCACCAGCTTTCAATCAGAACAAGTAGCCAACCATCTTCAAGGGAATAAAACACTGATGCGCATTGACAGATGAAAGCTCAGAGGTTTGAGAAGCTGCACCAGACCAAGTCCAAACAAGTTGAGGTGAACAAATACCTGCCTGAGCTCTTCTTGTTGTTCACGTCATGTGAAGGAATTGGAAGCAAAGATCCGTTCACTGCAGAAGGCGGCAGAGAAGAACGAGAAGGATGCAGCGGAGGTACTGAAAAATGATGTGCAGTTCATTGATCGCCAGTGATGTAAAGAAAGATGATGTGTATATCAATGATCGTCAGCGATTTAAATTGTTGTTGTACTGATGCTGTTCTCTTCCGTACAAGCTTTTCTTCTTGTCTTCGTTTTTTCTCTTGTTATTTCATCTGCCTGTTTCATCTCAATGATCGCTATCTCAACCTTGTCACCTTGGCACCTCAGTGGAGAGACAAATACAAGAAACTGTATGAAGCTGTCAAGAAGCAGGGGATGGAGGTGAGACGATTGGGACTTTTGAGTATGTTTGTAACCTTTCGTGCAGAGAGAAGAGAAACAGAAGAACATTGTCGACGTTCGTCACATTGCTGAACAACTCTCTGTTTCATATTACAAGGACCTGGCAAGATGTCTAAGACAGCAATAATGTTTGTGGCTGAGTGGATGACAGGTCAAAGAGAAAGACAAGGAAATCCAACAGTTGACAACAAGGTAAAAATGCTTCTTGCAGATAGAGATTGTCTGCGCTAGTTCTAGTATTTGTCTGTACCTGATCCTGTTCTGTCAGAATCAAGCGTCTCTCATCCTCGAACTTGAATTCAAAGTTGTCAGAGAAGAACTTTCTCAACGAAAAGATGGTGAGTTATGATCGATTCTCCATCTCTCGTGCTGCTCCTGCTCCTGCTCCTGCTCCTGTGCATATCTTGCGTTTTTATTTCTCCTAATCACCTTTTTCCGCAGCAACTGTCTGAAAAGATCAACGAACTACATCACAAGCTTCATCTGGTCATTCCCCATTCCCCACCCCTTTCTTCTTCGTCCTCTACTCCTCCCCTCTTCCTGTTCCTCTTTCTGCTCCACCTCCCCTGCCCTTCATCTCCACTTCCCCTCTCCCTTCCCTCGCTCCTGCACTTCTCCCACACTCCTCCTGCTCCTCCCTTCCTCTCATTCTCATGCCAGGCCGAGGACGCGAACTCGGAGCTCCTCGACTTGGTTTCCCAGCAGGAGGAGACAGTAGCACCTCACCGACGTGCCACCTCCCCCATGGAATCTCCACCCCAGCGCAGGGGCTCTATGACAGGGAGCGTTTCCTCTCCTCCCGCCTCCCCCACGAGGAGACGGAACTCTGCTTACAGCGTCAGCTCGATCCTCCAGCACGAGGAAGAGATGAGCGTCACTGAGATGGACGAGGAGGATCAGATTCCCTTCAGAGCGTCGCGCGTCCCCCTCCGCCCCTTCTCTGCTGTTGGCCGACGGTCTGCAAGGCTTGATATCATCCCCGATGAGCTGCTGGAGGACCGGGAGGAAGAGAAGGCGTCGAAGCAGCCGCAGGCGTGGGAAGAGACGGTCGATGGGACGACAGTGTCGCGCATTTCCGAGCTCGAGGAGGCGAATAGGCGGATGACAGTGGAGCTGAAGCAGATGAGTGAGTGCGAGGACGGGGAGGAAAAGCAGAATAGAATAGGACGGGGAGGAAAAGCAGAATAGACCTAAAGGAGGGAGGGAGAGAGGGAGGAGGAGGAGGAGGGGGAGGAGGGGGAAGAGAACGTCAATTCACTCTGCTCGCAGAGAACGTCATGGCAATCTCTCGAGGAGCGGCTGATGCTTATGAGGCTGTTGTGGCTCGATTGGGAAAGAAAGAGGACCAGTCGAGGTCTATAGAGGAGGAGGAGGAGGACGTTGCGGAACTGCCGGAGAGAACAAGGGCTAGCAAGAGCAGGTTTCCTTCTCCTCCTCCTCCTTCCCCTCCTCATGTCTATCTTGTGTCGAACTACTTCCCCTGACTCCTCCTCCAACACCACCACCACCTCCTCCTCCTCCTCCTCCACCACCACCACCTCCTCCTCCTCCTCCTCCTCCTCCTTGCTCGTGACCTCACCGCAGGAAAAGTCAAGTGGCCAAGATGCGCGAGTTGACCTCCTTTCACCGCCCCCCTCGTCCTCAATCAGCTCCCCCTGGACGAGACCCATTGGTGAGTCATGGCTGCCTCTGACTTCCTCCTGCTCCTGCTCCTGCTCCTGCTCCTGCTCCTGCTCCTGCTCCACTGAGCTTGTCGCAGATTTCTCGTCCCTCCTCTGCCCTTAGGAAGGACACGCCGACCACCAGCAGCAAGCTCGGAAGATCACGAGTGCCTCGTCCCAGCTCAGCCATCCCCGGGAACGCGTGAGACAGAGAACGACGAGATGGAAGAGGAGAAGCTGGTGGGGAGACAGGAGGAGGAAGGAAAATGAAGTGAAATGAGACGAGCCGCGCTCTTCCAGCACCATGGAAATTTTCATTTCTTCTTCAATGAAATGATCCTTCGCGCTCTCTTGCTCTCGTCTTGCTCGCCCGGAGTATCTCCAGCAGAGCCTCTGCTCGTCAAAATGAGATCGAAAGAGGAGAGGCAGCATGGCACGTACGTGTCGCCCTCGTTTCCGCTTTTCGCCTCCGACTCCTGCAGAGATCCTCGTCACACCCCAGCTGACGGCCAACTGAGGAGGTGGAGCTCACCTCGACGGTCGAACGCAGCCTCTTTCCAGCCGTTGCTAAGCTGTTGTCAGTAGACTTCACTTCCGCCCTCATATCACATGACAACCTTCAGCTGCGTCTGGGGCAGCATCTTGTTTGGCTTCGGTAGCAGCGGCCTGGAAGAAACAATCAGAGGCGAGCGAGGCGAGAGATCGATGAGAGAGATAAGACTAAAGTGAAGAGGAGCTGGTCGTGGAAGCATGACAACTAGTGGGCGACTTACGGCATTCTTCTTCTGCTGCTGTGCTTGCAGGAGCTTCTGACGGAGAAGGTTCTCCGCGCTCGAGGCCACGTGTGCCCCTCCCGCCTGCGGCTTCGCTGCTCCAGTGGCAGCAGTGGGCGGCTGAGCATCTGTAGGCTGGGGCGGGCTCGCCGTCTTGGCAGCAGTGGCAGCAGGTGGAGCCTGAGGAAGATGAAGAATCATTCCACTGCTTCACGAGCTGACCGGAGCTCAAACCTTGTTCAGCTGAACTTTCCCTGGGCTGCCGCCGGCCTATCGCAGAAGTCAGTGACAGCGACAGGACGCTCTTTGCGCTTGTTCACCTGTTGAGCTGCTGGTGACTGCTTCGGAGTTTGACCAGCCTGGCAGTATGGAACAATCAAGTCCCTCATAGCAGGGAACGAGAAAGAATTTACAGCTGCGTGTTGACCGGGGGCCTTCTTCTGTCCCTGCATCTGATTGTTCTGGCAAGCAGAATCATCGTTGACCTTCGAAATCGCTCCCACCTTCGCCTGTCCAGCTGGAGCTTGCTTTCCGGCCTGCTCGGCAAGTATTAGGAACCAAAGGACCATACCATCAGCAATTTGTTGCACCTGCCCTCCTGGTCCAGGTTGTTTGTTGCCCATTCCGAGAATTTTTGCAATCTTGAAGCAAGTCAAGACTCACAAAACAATTTCAAATATGCCAATCAGATGTACCTGTGCTCCCTGTGGAGTTGGTTTCGTCACTGGAGCAGCAGCAGTACCAACCTTCACAGTTCCAACAATGGTAGTCTGCGGGGAGTTCAGGTGAGTTGCAGCAGGTGTAATACTGGACCTCAGCCGGTGGAGGAGCTGGTGTTGTAGAGCTTGAAGGGGCGGCGGGTTGAACAGGATCCTTGCAAGCTGTCAAACTCGGCCTACAACAAGAACTTGCTTGTTACCTTTGCGGCATTCACTGCCGGAGGTTGGGCAGCAACAACTTCAGTGACCAATTCTGCTTTTTTCTCTTGATCTGGTTTTGCCGCAGGAGTTTGAAATTTCTTCAATTTTTGTGTCAAGGTATGCGCAAGATTCTTCGCCTACGAAAGCGGAATGAATGCGCAAGGTAGGGAGATCGCAGGAAAACCTTGTTGTAATTCTGCTTCTCGTCTTCAAGCTTCTGCTTTAAACTTTGAATTTCCTGTTTCATACACTTGCTTTAGCATGTATGAACAATTTGAAAAACACAATTGCATACCTCTTGAAGTCGCTTTTCATCTTGCTTAAAAGTCTGTTCATCACTCAATACCGGCTCAAATACAACAGGCTTGACCAACCTCCTTGATCTTTTCGATCTCAATACTCGATGGTTCTGCAGTACCAGGTTGCTTGGACTGCTCTTGTTGAAGCTCAGCCTAGTCCATTTGGTCAGTCAACCTCATCCTTCACAGCAGTTGTGGTTCCTCACTTGCAACTGAGAGATTTGAGCCTTGAGGGATTCGACTTCACTAGAAGAAGCTTCTGCACCTCCCTCAACCCTCACAGCTGAGTCTGGACGAGCTTTCAGGACATTCAACTCCTGTTGCAGGCTGCGAATGCAAATCAACACCAGAATAACTACAACACTGCTATACTGACTTGTCCTTCTCCTTCAAAAGGGCTTGATTTTGTTCTTTTCGCTTCTTATTCTGTTCTTCAAGCTTTTTCCCTGTTTCTCTGACCTTGTTTTAAATATTATTAGGAATACATGCAACGGATCAGGTGAAATACCAAGCCAAATTTCCTATCCAGATCTTCCTTCTCAGCTGTAAGCGCATTAACTTTTTGCTTGGCCTATTCAAGTGAAGTCTTCAAAAACTATCTGTGCTTCATGAAAAGAAACCTACCTGTGTTAACTCGTTCTCGGTTTCCGTCAGCTTTTCCTTCACTTGCTTCAATTCGCCCACCACAATGTCATGTTGGCTGGCAGGGACCACTTCCTTCAGCTGCTCCTTGGCTACTTTCAATTCTGCCCTCAGTGAGTCAACTTGCTCCCGAAGCCCGTGCCCCTTCTCAGCATCTTCTGCTTTCTGCTCTGCTGCCAACTTCTCTGCCTTCATCACCTCAAGATCGGCTTCCATCTTCTTGTACTGAATCTGAAAGATCTCCGAGTCTTTGCGCATCTTCTGGAAGGAAATGCCGGCCACCTTCTGTGCCTCTTCTGCGTCCTCGACTTTCTTCTTCCATTCACCGACCTTAGCTTCATGATCACGAATAATCGCCTGAGCTGCTGCAAGTTCTCGGACAAGATCCTGATCCTTGTGGGTGATCGCCCTGGTTGGTTCCGACGTAACCGCCGTCCCATCACCTTCCCTGCCCCTTCTTGACAGTGCAAGAGTCGCTGAAACAACGGCCTCCGCATCGAGGGAGATCTTCTTCAGGTGGTCTGTCATCGTGGCCATGCTGTCTAGTCCTTCAGGGCTTGATTCGCCAACCTAGCCTCACTTCAGCGAAAGTTCTTCCGCTTCGAGGTACAAGGATGGATCCTTATGCTCTATCACTTGAAAATCCTCGTCCTGGTTGTCTCTTCTTGCTGTTCAGCTCTGACTATGAGCCCTCTCTTCTCCTCCTCTCCTCTCCTCCTCTCCTCCTCTCCTCTTTCCGTCCTCAAAGTTTCCACCGAGGCGCCATAGCACCTCCACACTTATGCCACCCACCCCGAGAATCATGTACCCTATTACTCCTGTATTCACCCGTGCATTTCACAACTATACCCCCATTTTCTATGTGACATACCCACCATATCCACTGAAAAAAGTACCCCTTCATTAAGTACACCCCATTTATTGGTATCGTACCCCATTTCTTCAACCTGGGTCGGTATACCATCCCTCGTTCATTCCATGAATTACTTTGGGGGTAGGGGTAGATAAATCATGGGTACATCAACATTAGGGTAATACGATTAACTACATAGTGGTGGGTACACAAAGCAGAAAAGGGAGGTACTGATGAATCTGATACCGTAGGGGTATATTCATGGTGGGTAATGACTCATCCTCCAATACCGGTGTGATTGATAATGAAAAGACGGGGTAGTAGTTCTGTCCTGGGTCCACATGCAGTTAAGGGGGTAGTCATGACCGATGGGGGGTCGCAGCATAGGTGGGGTATTCTTCACATGTGGTCAAACCGGGTCTGTGAAGGAAAAAAGGGGGGTCATAGATATCTCTAACGTGATGCACAAGAGTTGGAACAGGGGTAGGGTGGTCCTGGACGGTCTCAAATACCGGGGGCCGATATGGACATGCACCCGACAAGAATGGCGAAGGTGAGGGAGGAGGAGGAGGAGGAGGAGGAGGAGGAGGAGGAGGAGGAGGAGGAGGAGGAGGAGGAGGAGGAGGAGAAGGAGATAGATGAAATGAAAAGGGAGGAGGAAGAGGGGGCGGGGAGAAGAAAGATGACACAGAAAAATTCACCTGCAAAGAGTAGAGAGGGAGGTGATAGACAACGGAATGAATTCAGGGAGCTATGCATTCTAGATATTGAGAAGAGCTCATGAGAACAACACTATTGTTACAGAATAGAAACAAGACTGGAATGTGAGAAGTAAGACCTTCATGCAATTCTTGCTCTAGTGTGGCTTCCGAACATAAGATCATCACAGTCGCCTAGAAGGGACAGAAATGGTGTTGTTTCTCTCGAGTTGACGTTGGTCTTCAACGCAGGTGATGATGGTTGTGGCCGCTCTTGGTGCTGCAGAGGCCTTCATGTTGCGGGGCAGCATGCGCATCAGTAGCCCAGCATCAAAACCTCGTGTGTGTGCCGCTGGCAGGCACCCAGCAAGCTCGAAGAGGCAGACAGTCATCTGTTCCTCAGCGCCTTCGTCGTCGTCCTTCAAGCAATACAAGCTTGCGACACCAGGACCTGTGAGCTCCAAGCGAGCACCTGAAGGACCGCTGGCTGAAGATCCATCCCTTCCCCTTGTGCAAGATATCATTCGAGCGATGGATGAAAGGAAGGTGAGACAAGGGAACGACTGAGAGGTTGAGGAGAGAAATTCTGCAAAGATGAGGAAGGGGGAGAGGGAGGGGGGTAATCGTCTGATGATAGAGGGTATAGCCCGATAGTGTCTGAAGGCCAGAAAGTGCAGCAAAGTGAACAAAGCGATGAAGCCCGATGCACGGGATGTAACGAGGTCGAGCTAATCTCTGCCTGACTATCAGGCGGAGTCGATCTGGGCTGCAAGGGTGTCTCATCTGACCTACTCGACGGAGTTCTTCATCAACTGCCAGGGAAGCTCTCGACCCATGCTCCAGGCTATCGCTGCTAACGTAAGGGCCCCACGGTTGAGCATGGAGTGACTGGTTGCTGAGCCTGTGATGCAGGTGGAGGACATCATGAACGAAAAGTACGGCAGAGAGATCAAGTGGCAAGGGAACCCAGACAGCGGGTGGATCCTCCTCGACTACGGGGAGGTCTGTTGTGGCTGGCAGAGGGATCGATTCTCATGGCTGCGCCAGGTCATTGTCAACATCATGACAGCTGCTGCGAGGGAATTCTACGACCTCGAGGAGCATTGGCGTAAGATGCGCTACAGCGGATCTCTTAGTCTGACCCTGTTCTCTCAGAGAACGGCGAGCTCGTCCCTCTAGAGGATCTGGTGACTCCCAACTCTCAGTCGACTTCCCCCGTCAGCTCCTTCGATATGGGGCTGGACGACGAGGACTGGGGCAAGGGGAACCCGTTCATGAATGTGAGAATGAACCCTTCCCACTTGCTTCCCGCCTGACACTCGCGCAGTGGGACGAGGAGGAGGAGGAGGAGGTCTAGAGTGCAATCCGCGAGCAGTGTTTACAGGAAGGGAAGATGGGTCGATGCGAGCTGTCGTGTCCTCTAGCTACTGGAGGAACTTGGCAATCAAGTCGACGATCACGTTGGTGTACCACATGTCAGTCGATCGGAGGATGAAGAAGACTTTGCCGTTGGCTGCAGGAAGGTCATGACGAGAGGAGAGTCCACAAGCTTCACCTAGCCGCGCATGGATCAGGCAGAGGCCGTAGAGCGAGTGCTGAACGCAGCTGATGATCTCATTGCCGATTATCTTGACCACCTGAAGTTTGTAGAGTGAGAAACCCACCGACTCGTGCTCTCAACTCCTCCCTCCTCCCTCCTCCCTCCTCCCTCCTCCCTCCTCCCTCCTCCCTCCTCCCTCCTCCCTCCTCCCTCCTCCCTCCTCCCTCCTCCCTCCTTTATTTCCTCCTCGCACTCACCTTGGCGTTGAGAAGAGCTTGGACTCGCTCTTCGAATACGGTCGGAGAGCTGATGGAAGGAAACACGCCGTCGAACTTCCGCTCGCAGCTGCCCATCACGTCAGTCCAGCCCAGCTCTTCACCAGCAAGAACCTGTGTGGAGCCCAGCTGGCACCGAACTCTTGCTCGGACATGACCTGCAGCAACACTTGAGCTGCCTCCTCGAGCCCTCCGTCCTTACCTTGGGCTGGAGGAACAAGGCGTAGGAGAACAAGTTGATTGGAACCTTAGAGCAGGGACATGAGTCAAAGGAGGGGCGGAAGAGGAGGGGGAAGGAGGGGTTGGGGGGGGGGGGGACAACGAGCGAGCAGGAGGAGAGCAGACGAGCAGATGAGCGTGCAAGAGTGTTCGAAATCAAGTTACCTGGACAATCTCTTCCTCGGGCACACCATTCTTGCTTATCTTCAACTTAAAGCCAATCTGAAGGAAAGCAATCAGATTATTGTAACCATCCTCAATCTCATCCTCTCCCTTCCCCTTCCTCCTCCTCCTCCTCTCTTGTCGTCACTTCGTCCTCCTCCTGCTCACTCGTCGTGCAGTCCCCGTCTCAGTCCTCTGCCTTCCTTTCCTCCATCTTGTCCTCACCTCCAAATTCTTCGGATCTGCCGTCTTTGGTGTCTCCATCACGGTTATGAGATGCGATGCCGCGGCACCGTACTTGAGCATCGGCAGCGTCGCCACGTCTCCTGTGATCGCAGGATACCTGAAAGTTTGACAGGTGAGGACGAGGTGAAGTCAGCAGCGCAGCCTTACGGGTCTCCTCCATATGAGCAGTGGAGGCCGCTGGGGATGAGGTAGGCGACGTCGACCTGCCGGGGAGGTCAGGAGGGGCTGCCGAGAGCTCCTGCGCTACTCACGTTGAGATCTTCATCCCCGAGGTTGCAGAAGTGAGTCAGCAGAAGGACGTGGTTGTCGCCCGTTGACTTGGAGATTGCCTTCACTTCCAGGCCTGCAGCAGGTCAGATGAAGCACAAGAGGGACATGGAAGGGGTGTGGAGAGGAGGAGGAGGAGGAGGAAGAGGAGGAGGAGGAGGAGAAGGAGGAGGAGGTATTGGATCTAACCAGAGGAGCTTCGATGGATCGAGGAGAGGTAGGAGTCACTCGGCAACCCCATCTGCAAGAGAAGAGAAGGAGGAGGAGAAGTCTTGGGCGTCACCGTCGTCTTCACTTTCGGCTGCGAGGCTTTGGATACAAGAATATCGTCGAAGGGTCCTGATTGAGGAGCATTGGACGGAGCCTTGTTGATCTCCTTCGCTGGAGCTCTTGTGCTGCTTTCTGCCAGCGTCATCTGACCGAACAGACCAGAGGAGGAGGGGGCAGTGGTAGTGGGAGGGCCCATCAAGTTCGAGCTGTAGATGGAGGAGGAGCTGGTTTGATTGGCAGCAGGTAGCGATGGGGCAACAGATGGCTGCGTGCTCAGGCCGTCGAACATGCTCGGCTTGGAAGGAGGAGGACCAGAGAGAAGGTCAGCAACAGGTGGGCTTGCAGCATAGATGCTTGCCGGCTGGTTGCTGCTGTAGATGCTGCTGAGAGTCTGAGAGACATCGCCGTAAATGCTCGTGGCGTCCACGTGCGACGTGGGAGCAGTGGAGATCAGATCGGGCCCTAGCAAGTCGCTGCTCTGTGCCGGCATTGAGAGCAAATCGACTTCCTTTGACACACTCGGGGTTGAGAAGATGTTGTCCAGCGCCTGAGTCTGCTTCCCAGCATTCACAACCTCCGGCTTCGACCCCGACGAGAAAATGTCTAGCAGCTCGTTCTTGGCTTGCGGAGGGGCTTCTTTCATGATTTCTGACATCCTCAGGAAGTCGGATCCTTCCCGCTGCAGCCTGCGCGCGATCTCTGCATCCTTCGACGTGTCGGGCAGATCGCTCAGCATGTTCTCACCTGTCAAGAAAGTGTCATCTCTCTGCTGCAACTCCTCGCACTCTTCTCACTTCGATTCTCCCCCCGCGGCGCAGGATCCTCAGTCAGACCACCGAAGATCGACGCTGCGAGCTGCTGCTTGTGAGTGTCTACCGCTGGCTCCTTCCTTACAGCAGCGGCTGGAGGCAGAGTAGCGGATGCTGAGATCGAGTGAAGTCTGTTCGCGATGTCGTTTGCTGGGGTGCTGCTGGGCGCAAACGAGGGAGCCATGGCAGGATTGGCCTTAGAGTATCCTCCCGATCCCCACTTGCCTCCATCCTTCCTCCCCAAGAGATTCAAGGCTGGTTCGCTCTGCTTTTCCTCGCCGGACAAGCTGAGGTCTAGATTCATCATCGGGGTGGAGCTCGGGGGTTGAGAAGGTGGAGCAGCAGGGGCAGCTTGCAAGCTCTGAACTGAAGATTGCGAGCTGAGACCAGCAAAGAGGGCGTTCATGTCAACACTTTGCGGTGTCTCAGCTGCCTGCATGACGGGGCTCTGTTGGACAGGCTGTGTCACGGTGGTTGCAGAGGGCAGACGGGGGGCAGACGGAACTTGAGGCTTCTCGTAGGCATCGAACCTCAACTTTGACTCTGCGTGCTGCTGTACGGCCGTCTTCTCATGCGTACCAAACGCTCTTCGACGTTCAGCCTCGCTCATGTACTTGCTGGCTCCCGATATGACAGCAGCTTGAACGAACGAGTCCAGGAAGGGAAGCCCTTCCTCAACCTCGATGTCTTCACAGCTTGCATCGACTGGAAGGACTCGTCGCATGAACTCAGGACTCTTCATCAGCTGCATCAGCTCCAGACTTCGCTGCTGCAAGCCAGGATCTCTTGCTCGGGTGTACGACTCGATCAAGGCTCGGGTGCTCTCCGGGCATCCCTCGGACATCTGAGAAACGAGTTTGGTAATGGCAGACACGATGTAGCTCTTGGTGTTCCTGTCTTGATAGTAGTTTCTTTGCAGCAGATCGCACATCATGTCCACAACAGCATTCAATGTGATCTCCGGAGAAAGAAGGTACGCGTACTCACCCAACGACCAGGAGCCAACTTGAATCAGCCTGTCTGACGTGTTCTGCTTGGGAAGGAGCTTGAAATAACTCTTCGTCGCGTATCTTCTCAGTTCGTTATCCTGTTCCTCGCTGCCTGACGGGCCCTCTGCAACCAGTCGCATCAAGTTGTGAGCGACCTCGGCTGGAACGAGATCTCCTCCTTGCTCGAAGACAGTGTTCATGGTCTGAATGTACCACTCGTTCGAGGGTGCATACTTCTCAGCAAGGGCGATGATTTTCGAGACAAGATCTTTGATCAAGAAGTCATCTGATGTTGCCTTGAGGAAGTTGGTCATCCTTGACACCACTACCTCCACGTTTGCAGAGTTGGTCATACGGAAGAGCAGATCCAAGGTCTTGTACTTGAGAGTGATATCATTGTCTTCCAGGCACTCAATCACAACCATCTGATGCTGTTTGGCATAGTCCATGTTGACTTGCACTATGGCTGACAAGGCATCCACCCCGATGTACCGAAGATTCCTGTTCTCGCTGGAGATGAAGAGCGAAGTATTCTCTGCTGCAAGAGCGAGCAACTGAGGTTGCGGATAAATCTTGGTGATTGTCTTGATACACTCGAAGATGACAGCGTACCCTATAGTAGTTTTGAGATCGGCTCTCGCCATCGTTTCTCTTAGCACTTCGTACATCTCTTCCGAGACCTTCTGGTTTGCATGACCAAGAACTGCTAGCAGCTTGAGAATCTTCGTTTGCAGCCAAGGAGCAGGCATGCGATGATAATCATAGTCCCTCGGAAGCCTGTGCTCTACAATCTGCTTCAATATGACAACCAGCGATGGTACGATCGAGGTATATCCCGCCGGATTTTTCTTCGCCAGGTCCAACAGGCCGCAAAGACCAGCGCCCATCACGGACGGATCTCTATCACTGAGAGACCTCTTGAAGACGTCGATGCAGTCCTCGACGGCTGAAGGAGATATCTCCAAGAATCTGTGCAAGGCCATGATCGCTTTCTTGCGCACATGAGCCTCCTTGTGGGACATGCAGTCCTTGACGAGCTTGAGCACAGCTGGGATCGTGTCGATCCCGATCAGTCGAGTGACGGCGCTCAGAGCTGCGCAGATTTCCCAAGGGTTTTGACTCTTGAGGTCCCTTTGAATCGTGTTGACCAGGAGGATGAGCAGCTCGCTATCAGAATCCAAGAAGAGAGACGCCGAGAGGTAGCCGGTTCTCTTCTCCGAGAGAGATGTCCGCTGCGTCATGTTCACAGCATGGATGTACCCGAACTCTACGCGGTGGCCAAGCATCTCGCAGTACATCATTCTCATGCACATCTCCCTCATCTTCTGCTGTGAATCGCGCTCTGTCAACCGCTGCCTGAGAGTCACCACCTCTTTGAGGATGATGTTGTCCTCTTCTTGCTTGGACTTGCAGTCTCCGATCGCTCGGACAAGGTCCATGAACTCACGGGAGTGCGACGACATGCTGGCAAGTGTCGATGGCGCCTGATGGAGCTGAGTTTCTCTCAGAACAGTCCCGGGCAAAGACTCTGAATGTAGTCAACAAGACGAGAGCAGAAGAGCAGAAGAAGGAGAAGAAGAAGACGCTGAGAGATCTTCGACTAGGCAGAGGAGACTATCGAGCAAAGACGCGCAATCCCTTCACCTTCTCCTCTCCCACACCATGACGGCTGCGACAGAGGTGTAGAGCTTCTCGGGGCAGCAGAGTTGAGATTATGAATTACGATTTCTGTCATTCGTAATCTCATGAGGCGGACCTGATTTGATATTTATCCTGCGAAACTAATTTATTTACTGCTCAGATTAGAAATTCCTCGTTCTGGTCTACCACCTTCCTGGTTAACTTCATACACGAAGAGACGCCATGGCTAGCGGCAAGAGAGCGGCGCAGCTGCTTGCGGCATGCGCGGCTTTCTCGGCGCTTGTGCTTCTTGTAGGAGTGAGCAGCGTTATGGTGAAGCATGCGAGAAAGACCGTCTTGAGCCCTCTCTTCACTGAGAACACTGTCCCCACCCTTGAGTGGAACGGGCTCCCTGAGGGAGCAAAGAACGATGTCTTTGCCGACAGTGAGCACCCAGAGGAGTACAACACCAAGGACGGAGCAGACGCGTTCGGACCCAAGGTGAGGAGATGTGTGAGATGAGATAGGTCAAGATCCCCCTGAGCGCACGCCATCAATCTGTATGTGTGAGGATATCAGGGGGTGTTCATGCTGATATGTAATGCATGCGAGGGGGGCATTGTTGTTTAGGAGGGCATTGATAGAGGCGCAGGGCCAGTACGGGATGTGGATGGGCATCAGCGGCCAGACGAAGAACAGCTTCGGGTGCGGGCCGAAGGGACCGATGGACTGCAGCGTAGGAACGACCCCGTCACAGCACTGGGCTGTTCGCAGGAGACAGTCGGCGATCAAGCAGCAGTTGAGCCCTCTCTTCACTGAGAACACTGTCCCCACCCTTGAGTGGAACGGGCTCCCTGAGGGAGCAAAGAACGATGTCTTTGCCGACAGTGAGCACCCAGAGGAGTACAACACCAAGGACGGAGCAGACGCGTTCGGACCCAAGGTGAGGAGATGTGTGAGATGAGATAGGTCAAGATCCCCCTGAGCGCACGCCATCAATCTGTATGTGTGAGGATATCAGGGGGTGTTCATGCTGATATGTGATGCATGCGAGGGGGGCATTGTTGTTTAGGAGGGCATTGATGGAGGCGCAGGGCCAGTACGGGATGTGGATGGGCATCAGCGGCCAGACGAAGAACAGCTTCGGGTGCGGGCCGAAGGGACCGATGGACTGCAGCGTAGGAACGACCCCGTCACAGCACTGGGCACGCAGGCCCGTGTTGAGGCCTTCGCAGAAGCTGTTCCTTGAGAAACGCCCCGTCAGGGAGATTGTCTACTACTAATGCAGGGCCAGTTGGTTGTCTGCTCAATGCATCGATGATTGTGATGTCTCATGTCTTGAATGAAAGTTCATTACACGACAATGAGAATGTCTCTTGTTTTGGAAGACAAAGTCATTTATATCTACCAGAAGTTGAAACAACTTCAAGCTGTGTGTTCAATCTGTCAAATGATTGCTCAAGAACATCTTATTTATCTCCCCCGCGCTATTATTCAAATCAGTTGTAGGATATTGATTAAGACAGCGCCTAGTGACATCGGATATCTCTAGCTCGTGTGAGATCGCACTGACCGATAGGATGAAGAGATACGACACTCAGTGGAAAATCACATACACCATTGACATATCAAAAATTGTGGATGAAACTTGAAGTCCATGGTCTAGATTTTTTAATCAAACACAAATAGAGCTTGATTATGAAAGAGTAAGAATACAAGTTGTCAACTTTAATTCCTCCACCACTTCCAGCACCCATCGTCCTGGTCAGCCAAAAACTTCAGTTTGCATTCGCGATTCCTTGAGGTGCGATGAATAAACATGATGGAAACTTCTACGCCTTGCATACGCAACCACAGTCACTGGACGCAGCCTGTCACGCCATACGTTAGGGTCTCATGCTAAAAACCTCATGGTTTGCTCTATCTCACCATTGCAGCCATGATGAACAGAGTGATGGCGGCGCAGAGTCCGATAAAGCTGAGGAACTGAGAAAAAGCTCACAACTCTGCCGAGCTCCTACGTCGAACTTCTCACCCAAGTCTCCGGGTATCTCCACCAGGCCTTGGTTGGAAGGTTTTGCGCCTCCCGGTCCATCTGAGGTACCTCTGGCTTCTGAGCGGAAAGTTCTTTGGCGGCAGTGAAGGCCCCCCCCATGAGCTCCTGCACTCGCATGCTCAGCAATCGAATTGAGAGCAGGAGGCGGTCCAGGGGAACGAACCTGAGCAGGGCCGGGAAGGGAATTCTTGATTTCATCGAGAATGTCTGTAAACTGCTCCGGGTCAATCTGAAGGAGAAATATCAGCGAGAGGAGGAGAGAGCAAGGAGTTCAGACCATCCCGATGATCTTCTTGATGACAACTTGGAAGTCAGGGAGTTGGGCCTTAGGGAGCTCAATGGCTGGCACGTCGACATTCTTGAGCATGTCTTGCAGGTGATCTGGCAGTTTGACTTTGAAGATTTTCTCGAGGGGCATGAGGATGGGGCCGATGCAGCCCACGATGACTCGAGGGTCGAGAGAGGAGAGGAGGTCTCCAGGGAAGGAGATCTGGTTGAGGATGTTGAACTCGGGCTTCATGATCGCCAGCTGTAACTCGCTCATCTTGGCTGTGAAGGTCGAGAGGAGATCTGGAGCTTGGAAGTCCAACTTGATCAGCGCGTTGAGCTCTGGGGAGATGACAGGAAATTTTGCGCTCATCGCCTTTAGCCTTGCTAGGATAGTCTCGTCCATCCAGACTTTCTTGATGACCTCCTCGAGCATGTTCGTGGGCAGGAACTTACCGAGAAGGTCGAAGACCTTGGGGTCTTTGAAGAAGACGGTAATGGCTCCAAGGAAGTCGGAGACGTTTAGCTGGAAGATAAAGTCACCCGATGATGCTCTACCGCAGCTCTCGTACCTTTGCCAGAAGCTCAGTGATGGCTGGTTTAAGCGCCTGCAGCTCCAGCATCTTGGAGAAGGCCTGGTCCAAGGGCGCAGGGATGGAGAGAGCGACGGTCTTCAAAGCGTCAATGGCCATGTTCCCGTCAAGTCGCGCGAAGATATCTCGAGGGAAGGAGAAGGCCAGCTCCATCTGCCCTTTGACTGAAGCTTCCAAGAGCTTCAAGTCGTTCATGATGCTCCCGCAAACGACGGCGAACTCTGAGATGATGCCTGAAGCTTCCCAGTCGATCTCGGCGAGAGCATCGAAACTCGGCAGGATCTGCTCGGGCACCTTGGACTCCAACTCAGCCAAGCAGCTCTGTATGGACTGATGCTTCATGATCTTCCGGAGCATCTCCTCCAAGGACGAGATCACCCCGTTCTCAGTCGCCAGGGACTCAAGAGACACGAGCAGATCCGGACACTCCAGGCAAGCCTGCATCGCCACTTTGAGGTCGCCAGATGTCAACTGAAGAGAAAGAGGTCAGAGAAGTGACAGATGGCAGTACAAGAGAAGTACATGACGAAAGACGTTTGTGAATCCCTCTAAACAATTCTTTATCCCAAAGAACGATTGAATGCCCACAAGAAAGTCCGAAGCTGATTCCCATTCAACTTCCAGCAGCTGGTTGATGTGGCTTGAGAGGAGGGTGACTTCTTCAGCGATGGTTGAGAGGCCTTCCCTTATCATGTCCATATCGAACACCTGCTTGAAGAACCTGAAACGACTGAGTCACTTTCAAGGCACCTCCACGCCATCACTCACGGGTTGAGGCAGCCAGGCTTCAGGGTGTTGAGTTTGAGCAGTAGCTTGTCGTTGGTGAAGAGCTCTGTGAAGACTGCCGGCAGTTTACCGGACATGAGGGAGCTTCCGATGGGTTTCAGGTCGGATATGGAGCTTCTTGCCAGGTGATACTTCTGCATGATGCCTGTCGAGGCAAGCTTCTTGGCCCTCAGCTCCGTGGCTGTCATGGGAAATCCTTTCATCCCTGGTTTAGCAGCAGGAGCAACGAAGGAGCGAATCACTCCCCAGATCTGCTCGGGCATGGCCAGCACGACTTGGATGGTGCTGAAGGTGATGACAGCTGAGATTCCTACGTCTTTGTTGACCTTGCCACTGACAGTCAGGGTGGCGATCAGCATGATCACCGTCTGCTGCAGCTGCTGCACTCCCATCTTGAGCCCGTTGATTGCGTCGATGTCGGGAGAGAAGAAGAACAAGATGATCACCTCTGACAGGAAGAGAACAGTGATGCACCAAGCCTTGGCTGTCGGATCCACCAGAGGGAAGGGATCAGTGACGAGCAGGATTCCGATGAACAAGTTCTTGAGCATGACGAAGCAAGCGAAGTATCCACCATATTCGTTGTACTCCTCGTAGAACATGGAGAAGTTGTCTTTCTTCTCCCACTTGCCTCGATTTCGGAGGCCTTTTTGCACACGAGGATCTGTCATGGTGTTCAACTTGGCAACGAGATCTCCCAGAACATTTAAAAGCGGCGCGAGGCAGTTTGTACCGCCTGTCTTGACCTCATCGACAACTCCGTTGCTGTCCATCACATATTTCTTGCCAACAGCTGCTGAGACAAGGTTCGTATTGAAGATCACAAAGTGTCGTCCAAGCTTTGTGTTCAGTGCGGGTGGAAGAAAGGCGATAATGACGCCGAGGATCCAGAAGACGATGGTCAAAGCGCACTCATCCCCAACACAAGTGCAGCGAGCGCTTGCATTGCACTCTATGTAATTGCCGCTCAAGCTTCCTCGTAGACCAAGCAGCACAAACAAAACCCCGGTAACTCCAAAGAGAATCTTGAAAGAGGCGTAGATCACGTTCGGCTCACAGAAGTCTTCTGCCGTTCCTTTGGCTGCCATCACCTTGCCGAAGAATTCAGACCATGTGCAGCTGTTTTCGTTGCGCTTGAACGTGATGTCGCTGTTCCTCTTGCTCTTGATGATGTACCAAGCCATGAAGACCAGAAATCCGGCTGGCACGCTGATCAACCACATGAAGGCCATCGCCCACGCAGCTTTGTTGAGCCAACCGCAAGGGCAGTAGGCGTACTTGCCGATGGCCATGAGGATCCCTGTGATCTGGCAAAGGCCGAGGTGAGAAGTCTTGACCACGTGCAGCTCGTGCTCGCCGAAGCCCATCCCCTTGGGCGGCTTCGCAGGAGTCGCACCAGAAACGTTTTGGAAGATCCGAGAGACCCCATGTAGCAAGATAAGGCGGAGGATGAGAGCTGCTCCTAGCCCGGCGATGAACGTCCCCGCCACACCGAAGTAGCCTTGCATGTACGCACCAGCACAAGTATCCTTCTTCAAACTGAAGATGCCATCGAATCGTAGGTTTGCCCAAGCAAAGGCGGAGCTAAAGGCCTGTCCTTCATTTTCTTGCTTTTGTTCAGTTGCAAGCAATCGTCGATTGTTGGTAGGTGGAGCTGTGCTGGAGGGGACTGGAGTATCGTCGAGCATGCTTCCAAACAATCCCATGAATTGCGTCGCTCCGATGAGCTGATAGATCGATGCACCAGGAGCAGGGGCAGCCGAGGAGCCGGCAACCGCACCTTCACGAAATGTCAAGGAGAGATGAGATCACGAACTCTTTTCACCTGCTACAGAACCAGCCACAGATCCCGCAACAGTCGCTGCCACCACCACGGCTGCAATGGGGTGAGTGAGCACATGAAAATGGTCCTCTACAAGGGTTCTCACCGACGACAGCTGATGCTGTATCGGCCTGTGCTTTGAGAGCGGGAGAGAGCGCTGCTGCAGGTGGAGGAGTAGTAGGAATAGGAGTAGTCGTTGGCAGCAAAGGAGGGACGTAGGAACAAGTCGCATTCATGCACGTGGAGCTCAAGAAAGTGGAAGCAGGAAACACAATCTTGTCAAAGGTGTCCTTGACGGTCTGGCAGCAACTGCTACACATGCAAGTCATGAATTGTATCAAGTAGTCAGGACATGTCGTGCATGTTCCGGTGAAGGATATCGAAGGTGGCGGGGTCACGCTTGGTATAGAGAAATTGCTTGTCACTGGAATGCCCGAGGTGTTGGTTGGAGCGGGGGTGGACGTTTCGACTGTGCTAGTTGTCAAAGGGGAAGTGCTGGTCGATGGAATCACGGTGGTGCTTGTTTGAGCAGAAGATGTCGTATCAGCAATGCTAGTATTGGAAGCTGTCGAATTAATGCCAGTCACGATGGTGTAATTTTCCGTTGGTGTCGCAGCAATTGTCGTTTGTTGTATGCTGGTTGTATTCTCTACTGAACCAAGCGATGCAGAAGTAGTTGATGTAGTCACAGGTGCAGGAGTAGTTGATGTTGTCGCTTCTGCTGTTGTAGAATTCGTGGGTGATACTGATCCTAAGGCAGCGGTTGTGTGATTGCCAGTGAAATTTGCAAGGGAAGGAGGAGGAGTTGCTATCAGTGGTGTAGTTGTAGCAGGGCAAACGTATGTCGCAACCGTGAATGAACTCAGAGCATATTGTGAGAAAGGACTCAAGACATCTGGAAGACATCTTTGCAAGCACGCATCAATGTTTGGCTTCGAAGCAACCAGGTTCCCAATGACAATTTTCAAGTCCGATGGGGGCTCGCAAAGAGAGGAGGAGACTTGTCGCCTCGCGGAGCCCATCAGTCCAGCAGAGCTTGATCCGTACGAGATTGTCGGGGAGTCTCCCAGGACGCCAGAGGCCAGTAGCCCCGCGCATAGCAAGACCCCGAGCAGCATGGCTTCGCTCTCCGACAGATTGCAGAGGAGGCTATGGAAGGAGGGTAGGGGTTATCCCCTTTGTAGGTCAACACGGTCATTTTCGGTGCTGGATAGAGGGGGTGGTTCATAGGCGACAGTACTGGTAGTCACAGACTTCTTTGACCCACCAATCAGACCTTTTGAAGAGGGGTGGGGTAGTGACATGCCCTTGTAAAATGAACGTGATGCTCCGATGAGTGCCCCCACCCACATGATTCCCGATGAAAGTACCCACCCCCTCGGAGACGGTGCCCCGCAATAGTCAGCAATAATTCACCAAGGGTTCCGATCGGATGATGGTGGTCAACGGTAGGGTGGGGCAGGGGAAGAGGAGGGGTACAGGAGTTCAACCGGTCAACGATTAGTCAACCAAGACCGCAGAAGTTGTCAACTTTGATGCGAGACCCTCACCTTTAGAGGCCCTGGGGCCAGGGGTGTAGATGATTGAGTAAAAGTAAACTCCAGTCTCAACGCTACTGCTCCTTGTCCTCGGTTCTCGCTGCCTCTTCTGTTTTTCCTATCTCTCCTTTGAGGCGGACTCAGGCTCTTTTTGTTACCTTGCACTTGAGTAAAAGTAGATCCGAGGAGGTCATGGCGTCAGGGGCGCGGAGGGAAAGGGACGCGAAAAGTTCTGGGAGGCTGATGGTGGTCGGAAGACGGTTAAAAGATGAACTATGCAGGCCTGCCCAACTCGAAGGTCCAGAACAGGAAGAATGTTTGATTGTACGGGCGACTTCGATATGACCATAATGGATCAGGGGAAGGGTAAGAAACATCGAAATAGAGAGAAACGCAGTAATGTCGAGGATCAAGCCAGGAAGCAGAAGAAGAAAAGGAACAGGGATGTTCGCGAGGAAAATTCTATCGTGGGGTTTCATGGCTCAGTAGTGGAGATCGATTCCGAGAACCAGGATGCTCCAATCATGGTTAGCGACGAGGTAGGGGAGGATGGGGCAAGAGTCAGAAGACTGAGGTTCTTCACTCTCGATCAAACTTCTCATGAGCTGGTCAGCGATCACATACAAACTGAAATGGCGCTTACTGCGGAGGGGACCCCGGATCCCACTAGGCTCATGCTGCAGTATCATCGAGTGATGTATGATGCGATGTGCCGCCTTCCCACTGTGGTGAAGAAAGTTTGCGTCCTTGGTCATGGAGCGGGGGCCCTTTCATCGTTCTTGAGCACATTGTTGAGGTTCGAGATATGTGCTGTGGACTCCAACCCTGCGGTGCTGCGGCTCGGGAGGAAGCACTTCAACGACAGGGTGACAGCACAGCATGATGACGGAAGCAGCTTCTTGCGCAGGAGTGTCGGATCCTTCGATGTGGTTCTTGTGGATCTGAACGCTCCGAGCAACGAGGCCTTGGATGCTCCTCCAAGAGAGTTCTGCACGCATGACTTTGTTGATCTCGTTGCTCGAGTTACTGGGAACTTAATCATGAATGTACTGGGTGGTAGTGAACAGGCAAGATCGGATGTAAAGGCCGCATACTCCCGCAAGTTCTCGACGCGCTGGGTACATCCTGATGGCTGCAACAACTACATCCTAGTTGCAACGCAGCAGACGACATGATGTCTCACGAAAGAGAACGCGCGTGAGAGATGCTGTCAACGTAACTTCCCAGCAATCTGAGTGCAAGACTACTAGTAGTCGTTTCCAAGATGTTCCTTGCGACATGTTTATTTTCTGCTTCCTAATCGAGAGACTTCATCTCGTGAATTTCAGAGTTCTGGGGGTCATGAAGGTTTCTACCATCTCATTCGAGACAGCAGCTCTTGCCTGCAAACAAGGAAAGTCACCAGGATGGAAAGAACCCGGCGAAGTTGGAAACCTGCTGATGTCTTGAAATGATGGGTTGGAGAGTGGAGATGAGCAGCTGCTTGGCCTCTCCTGTGAGCATCTTGTTGCCAGCACGGACTGGTCCTGGACCATATTCCTGTTCTATCTTCTGAAGGACAGAGTCGTCGTCGCAGAAAAATCGCATCCACTGAGTTTAAAGTCAACAACATGACATCTCCATTGACCCTCACCTGGTAGGCGACATCGACTTCCAAGTTTGCTCCAGTATTCTTCTGATCTTCGAGGGAAACCTTTGAGAAGGTCACACGGGCAAGCAGAGTACGGAAAAGTGGTCAAACCTGTCCTCCACTGAACGCATACTTGTTCACCTGTTGTCGTCACGTGTCAACTGCAATGGAAGCAGGATATCTCAGGCACATACCTTGGTCTTGATCATGTCTGGGGTGTCGGAGACATAAATCGTTGTCGACGCGTCAGACGCGCTCATTTTTGTCTTCGAGCCGGTGAGCGCAGGAAAGAACTTGCTGAACAGCAGCGGTGAGGATATTAAGGTGATGCAGCGATCCAGTCCCACCTATGGAGGAGCGCTGGCTTCTTCCACCCGAGACGCGGGGCCACGTCACGGGTCATTCGGAAGTAAGGATCCTGATCAATGGCACACGGGATGAGGCACAACGGCTCCGTGTCGTTTCCTGCTCGGAAATCAGTCGTGATGTCGACGAGACACCCTCGGGTACCGAAGATGTGAGGGAACGCTACAGGAAAGGAAGGAGCGGCCTGTGTGGACTCAGAGGAGCCGATCTTCCTCCTCCACTGCTACCTGAATGGCTGGGAACGAATGCTTTCCAATGTTGTCGCTGTCAGTAAACCCAAAGATCCCCTTGGCCTGGCTGTACGTGACAGCCTTCTCAATCCGAACGATGGTGGGATACATGTGTCTGAGGACGGACGTCAGCTGCATTAAGAAGGAAGGGAGAATCCTACCCAATGTACTCGAGGTTTGAGAAGATGAAAGTCTTGTTGATGTCGAACCCGCACGCTATGATGTCTTTTGCATTCTCCTTTCCCAGCTCATAAAACCTTGCAAACAGAGATTAAGTGGTTCCCGGCGAGACGACACAAGTGTCATACTTCTCGATCGTGTTGGTCTCGTGGTCGCCTTTCCACAGATACTTCTCGTCATCCGTCATTTGGATCACCAGAGGCACGTCGAAGGTGTCTTGCAGCCATTTCGTGAACATGAAAGGGATAAGATGGCCCATGTGGAGCGCATCAGATGAAGGGCCTCTTCCCGTGTAAAGGTAGAAAGGCTTCTTCTGTTCGTACAAGTCAAGAATCTGTTCAAAATCTCTGTGGGAGAAGAAGATTCCCCTGCGCAGCCACGGGTGTCTGCAAGCATAGGAAAGTAGACCAGTCATAAAAAGAGAACAAGGCATTCACTTTTCTTACGCTTTGACTCCAGTCAGCCTTTCCATTCTCTCGATGAGCTCAGGAGAGATTCGCTGAGACCCAAAGCGATCGATGAGCTTGTCATAGTCGATGCCTTCCTCGCCGTCTGCTTCCACCTCCCATGGTGTAACCACCTGTACAAACAAAGTCATTCCCTGACTGTCTTCATCCGTGCCAACAAGTCTCTCTTCTATATCAGCATTAACCTCCTCAACTAGGATGGTTCTGTCAAGATCGGGCACTGAAGAAATTAATCGCAACGAGGTTGTCCTCTCTTCAATCCCCGCAAATATCACTTGAAATCATGAAATTACATGAACAAATTCTGCATCCCTTTCGGATGATGCTTCAATTTTCACAATCATATCGCATTTCCCTCCAACGTGCTCCCCTCATCTTGTGATATCGCACTTTTCTCTTCTCCGCCTCTGTTCTCCCTTGCTCTTCCCACATTGATCTCCTCTCCTCTCTTTTCCCCTCCTTTCCTCTTCATTCTCATTCTTCCATATTTCTCTCCCCTTTGATCTCTCTCGATGTAGCCATCTTTCTCTCCTCTCCTCTCCTCTTCATCTTTCTTTCGTTCCTCCATATTTCTCTCCTCTCCTCTCCTCTCCTCTCCTCTTCATTCTATTTCGTTCCTCCATATTTCTCTCCTTTCCTCTCCTCTCCTCTTCATTCTCTTACGTTCCTCCATACTTCTCTCCTCTCCTCTCCTCTCCTCACCTGGCCATCCTGCTTCGTTGCAAGATCCACCTCCGCCATGCTGACTCACGGCCACGAGAACCCAACCGTTTATAACCACTTTTGTAACGAATTATAACGGTAAAGATTGTTCGACATGGTGGAGGAAGCGGAAGACTCTGCTTAGCATGCGTCGCTTCCCCCCCCCCTCTTCCTCCTCCCCCCCACCTGACGTCCTCAAGTCCTCCATCCTTGTCTCCATTCTCCTCCTCCTCCTCTCCTCCTTCCCCCCCGCCCCCTCCTCCTCATTCCCCTGCCCCCCCTGCTTCCTCACAATCCGCCCCCTCAGTTTATCTCGCCGGGCACTGAGGACCTGGTGGCCCAAGCGCCTTTTCTCTCTGTTTCTTCTATGTTCAGTCTTTGCGCAAGCTGCGGCCCCTCCCCCATTGCTGAGAGGCGATGGAAGGAACTCGAACTGGGCGAGTGAGGTCGAGCCCATAAGGGGAGGAAATGTAATGGCGCGACCGACAGGCAGGGTGAATCTTCTGTCTGCGGACATGCCCGGTAGCAGATCGAAGGATGTGCTGAAGGATATGTGCATGCGGAGATATGTCAGAGAGCGCGAGGAGCATCTGAAAGCAGCTAGGAAGAGGGCCGTGGAACTTGAAGATAGTCTCCGCAATCAAACAGTTTCAGGGGAACGTGCAAAATCGGGCGATGAGGGCGAAGGAACATCGTCGATGTTGCAGGCTGAAAGCTCCAAGGTTGAGGAGGAAGCCGGTGCAAGCGGTGAGGGATGTACAGAAGTTGTGACAATCGAGAGCTGCAATGCGTTAGCGAATGTTCCGGCCATTGGGGCAAGAAGGAGGAGCTTCGAGGTGAACAGCTCTGCCTTTGGGTTCAGCGACAAGCTAAACCTGGAGACTCTCAAGTATTTGCTGTCAACAGGAAGAGTACACATGAAGGAGCATCTTCCTGCCTTGTTCGAACAGGCTTCGGCGATCGCCACCGCCAACCTGCTGGGCTCTGGCGTTCCAGTCTGCCGTGACATCATCTTGTACTCTCCTTGGCTGGAGGGAATGCCAGGAAGCTCGACGAGCGAGCTCGATGCCTCCAAGGATCTTGATAGGGCATGCGAGGATGACAGGATCCAAGTCCTCGACTCGCACGTGCACTATCCCACAGAGAACGTGGGAGAACAGGCGGTGGAGAGGAGGAGGAGCCCCTCTCCCTACTCGGTGGAAGCAGCGATGGAGATCGACTAGAAGTTGTCCGACCATCGAGTCCAGTCTCATGGAAGCGAAATTGTGCGCGTTGCAATGCTTCATCTGTGCTGGGGGAGGGGGACGGGGAGGACGGGGGGGTCAGGAGGAGGAGGCGATTGCTGCTTGCTTTACCATCGAGGAGAAGTTTCCGAAGATGTTCATTACGAGGGTGTAGATGGTGCAATGCCAGCTCATCTTGACAAAGACAAATATTTCAATTGTTTGTATGTGAAGGGAATCTTGAAATGAAGGGAAGAAAGGTCACATAAGGTCTTCGCTGATAACATTCTGCTGCTGCTGCTGCTGCTGCTGCTGCTGCTGCTGCTGCTGCTGCTTTCCTCCTCGCGTCAGGGTGTCGATGTAGTCGTCGTACTCGTCGGATTCGTCCTCCGAGTCCCAGTTCTTCATCATCTTCTCCGCAGCCTGCGAGCCAACACACGTCAGTCCCAACTAGATCGCGGCTCCTGCCCTACAATGGCGGCGGACTGCTGGACCGGAGGCTTGCTGGTCGGGTTGTTGGGCACAGGCGGAGTGTCGTCTTCGCTGCTCTCCTGCTCCCTGTATGCAGAGTAGAAGGCAGATTTACCAGAGTTCCTGCAGCCATTCGTGTGAGTCGAGGTGGAAAGAAGGGAAGCGAGAGAAGGGGAGAGGGAGGGATGGATGGATGGAGGGAGGGAGGACAATAGAAAAGAAGAAACGGAAGAGCATGGTAGGAGGGAAGGAAATGGAGGAGGTGAGTTACCGAGGAGGAGCCTCTCGCTGCGTCAGCTGACGGAGCTCTTGGTCTAGCATGTTGGCCCTCGCCTGCATGGCTCTCAGACGTCATCCAAGCACAAGTGGTCGACCTGGAGGGCGGAGATCCTCTCCGAGCTCTGCTTCTGCACGTCGTTGTCCTGATCCTCGTCGCTGTACTCGGGGGAGTCGCTCCCGTCTCTCCCCCAGGGCTCGTAGCGCGTCCCCCCACCCTGCGGCTCGCGATCGTAGTCGAGCGGCCGAGCCTGCATGAACTCGTCCAGGGGCTTGCTGAGGAACTCATCCAGCTTCTCCTCCCTTGCTGGGATCGTCCTGGGCATGACAGCCGACCCCCGCTGCTCCTCCCTCGTCTGGCGGAAGTTGTAAGTCTCCCGCATAGCCTGCTCGGGGACGGTGCCATAGCCTCGGCTCTTGTCGACTGGGAAGGAGGAGGAGACGTCGGGCTGCTGCCTGCTGCTACGAGCGACCTCAAGCTCGGCAGCAAGGGAAGATTTCTCGTGGTTGAGGTTGCGCACGAGGACCTCCAGCTCCTGGCTCCTCTCGTCGCTCCTCTCCTTCTCCTCATACGCCAGCTGCAGCCTCTCTTGCAGCTCCTGGATCTCATTGTTGGCCTGCAAGTTGTCGTAGGAAAGTTCCTCCGCCTGCCTGGCTTGTCAGCGACCAATACGCCAGAACGCTCGTCCTCACCCGGGCCTGAAGCTCACGTATCTTGAGTAGGTCATCTTGCGACTGGGGCTGCGATAGGGCGCTGTTGGCAGAGATGAGCTGGAGAGAAAGTAAGGGAGCGTCTAAGCAGCACAAAGGATGGACCCACCTTCCCCTCCAGCTCCTCGTTCCTCAGCTGCAGGGATTGAATCTGAGATTCCAGAGAGATCGACTGCTGCATCTCCCGCATCGCCTTGCTCCTCGACTCCTCCAGCAGGTCCTCCAGCTCCGCGATCCTGTCGCTCCGCTCCTCGAGCTAAGGAAGTTCAATGGTCAGGGTCGCGAGACTGAGAGGGAGCGAGCAAGGGACCTGTCTCTTCAGCAGCTGGAGCTCTTGGCTGGTCTCGTTGCCTTCCGCCCTCCTCAGACTCTCCAGCTCCTCCATCAGTCTGGCCTTCTCGACCGCCAGGTTGCTCATCTACGGTCTCTCAGCTGAGCGCTTGAATTCACCTCCGTCACCTTCGTCTCAGACGACTGAAGTCTGTTGGACAGATCTCTGTTGACCTCCGTCAACTGCACAATGAGTGAGATCGAGAAGAACCGAACTCCCCTCCTTCACCTGCGACACCTGCTTCTCCGCTTCCTGCAGCCTCATCTGCTCTTGCTTGGCCTTCGCCTGCTCCAGCGGTACCTGAGGCACGTCAGCCACGAAATCGACACCTACGGCTGTCAACTTTTGCCAGACGATTCTCAGCTTCCTCCAGCAGCGACTGCAGCTGTCGGTTCTCAGATCGCAAGACGCTCGACTCGGCATCAGCTGCGAGGATCCTGTCCTGCATCTTCCTGCAGCCTCATGATCAGGAGAGTATCTAAGAGACACAGCGAGCAGCGCACTTCAACTCGAGCTCGATGGCGTTGTACGCCTCCTCCTGCACAAGATCTGAGCGATCAACATGCTGATGCCAAAGGTCAAGATCACTTCTTCCATCTTGGTCCTCGTGTCGGTCTCCTACGATTCTCGTCAGCTCATCAAGAGAACATCTCGAGGACAACCTCTCTCAGCTTCTCTGCCTCCTCCATGTATCGCTCGTTCCACTCGTTCCTGCTCTGCTGTTCCATCGCAACCTCGAACCTCACAGAGTCTGTCGGCCTTGCGCATCTCACGAGCACAACGTAGACCCTGCTGGTCATTGACGAGCCTGGGACGTACAAGTGAATGAAGGACATGAAGGTCAGATCAAGATCCCACCGAACAAGTCACTTTCGTTCCTCGAGAAGGATAGCTTGATCTCTCTCTTGACCTTGGTCAGTCGCTTCAACATCTCTGCCAGGTCTCTCTTGTGCGTGATGGAGTCCACCCGTTGCCCGTCAATCTCAACGAGCCGATCGCCAACCTCGCATCCTCCCCGCCACAGTCCCGGCTGGCAAGTGACAAGGCGAGTCAGCAGCGCACACAAGATCGCTCTCTCCCCGAGCTCACCGTTGTCTCGTACACAAGCTCTGCTCGCGACACCGGGGAGTTGGGCACGATCTTGCTCAAGATCCCGTGGTTAGCAAGAACCATCCCAACAGGCCAAGGCATGTCACTGGAAGAACCCCGTGGGGTGCCATTGGAAGGGAAGGAGTTCTCTTCTATAGGAAGCAGCGTGTCCGGGTGAAAGATGGCACTGGACCTCTCCTTGCTGCTCGTCATGGGATCATCGCTGAGACCAGGTCGAGGTTCAGACGGGAATGTCTGCCGCGACGCTGGCGACACCCCCATGCCTTCGAACATGGCTTCAAAGGTCTCCGGGTCTAGACCTGTCGGCACTGGCAGTTTGTCATTCATAGTCCTGGGGTCCCACGTGTTTGCTCTGCGGCTTTGCTCCATGGTCACTGTTGAAGGAGTAAGAAATTTTCAAAACCCTCCTGTAAGAAAAATCGATTATCGTTTCTCTGCACATCTATCGTTATCATGAACCATCTCCTCCCGTCACTTTCATCCCCCACCCCCCCTTCCTCCTCTTCCTCTTCCTCCTTCTCCTGTTCTTCCCCTCCTGTTCTTCTGCTCTCCTCCCTCCTCCCTCTCCTCCCCTAAAACTCAATGTCCTCTATCCCGCCTCTGCATGGTGACTGGGACCGTTACCAAGGGGCATAAAACAAGGGGTGGGAATGAAGCATATGTGGGTACTACCTGCTGTTTTGGGGTGCTTCTTTGGTATTTGAAGGGGTGGGTGCTTTTCTTGTGGGGGGGGGTTGTAACTTGACCTTTTTGTTTCTACGTCACGGAGAAAAATGCAGGCGTGAGGTAGTAGGTAGATGATAACAGGAGAAGCGAGTGAAGTGAAGAGGAAGGGAAGGGAAGGGAAGGGAAGAAGTAAGAGATGAGAGAGAGGAGCGAAGAGATGGGACCTTAGCATGGTAAGAAGCAGTACAAAACTGTGGAAGTCGAAGAAAGGTGGGAAAAAAGATGTTTCAAATGGACGTTGGGAGCAACAGAAGGATAGATGGGTAAGAGGCTGATCGGAGAAGGGGCGAGGGATGACAGAAGAAGCCGGAAGGGAAAGCAGAACGCGAGTGAT